TAATTTAAAAATTATGGAATGGCCAAAGTACATGTCGGATTTCCTTCCTGTATCTACGCCCAGCAGGGCTCTGAGATCCTTTGGAATCAGTCAGCTGGTAGAACTGGGTCTAAACCAAACAAGGAAAAGCTGCTTTTAGCTACTATGCTGCTCAGATGGAATCCGCTTCCTCGTGATCTCAAATGTGCCCCAACTCTAGTAACTTTATTAATCTTAATGTAACCAATATTTGGTTACTTACCTATTCTAGACGTAAAGTTTTATTTACTTATTCTAGACGTAACATTTTATTTACTTATTCTAGACATAACGTTTTATTTACTTATTCTAGACATAACGTTTTATTTACTTATTCTAGACGTAACATTTTTACTTATTCTAGACGCAACTTTTCTAGACGTAAAGTTTTATTTACCTATTCTTGACGTAACGTTTTATTTACTTATTCTAGACGCAACTTTTCTAGACGTAACGTTTTATTTACCTATTCTAGACATAACGTTTTATTTACTTATTCTAGACATAACGTTTTATTTACTTATTCTAGACGTAACGTTTTATTTACTTATTCTAGACGTAACGTTTTACTTATTCTAGACGTAATGTTTTATTTACCTATTCTAGACGTAACATTTTATTTACTTATTCTAGACGCAACTTTTCTAGACGTAACGTTATATTTACCAATTCTAGACATAATGTTTTATTTACTTATTCTAGACGTAACGTTTCATTTACTTATTCTAGACGTAACGTTTTATTTACCTATTCTAGACGTAACATTTTATTTACTTATTCTAGACGCAACTTTTCTAGACATAACGTTTTATTTACCAATTCTAGACATGTTTTATTTACTTATTCTAAACGTAACATTTTATTTACTTATTCTAGACGTAACGTTTTATTTACCTATTCTAGACGTAACATTTTATTTACTTATTCTAGACGTAACATTTTTACTTATTCTAGACGCAACTTTTCTAGACGTAACATTTTATTTACCTATTCTAGACATAACGTTTTATTTACTTATACTAGACGTAACAATTTATTTACTTATTCTAGACGTAACGTTTTATTTACCTATTCTAGACGTAATATTTTATTTACTTATTCTAGACGCAACTTTTCTAGACGTAACGTTTTATTTAATTATTCTAGACGTAACATTTTATTTACTTATTCTAGACGCAACTTTTCTAGACGTAACATTTTATTTACCTATTCTAGACATAACGTTTTATTTACTTATACTAGACGTAACAATTTATTTACTTATTCTAGACGTAACGTTTTATTTACCTATTCTAGACGTAATATTTTATTTACTTATTCTAGACGTAACGTTTTATTTACCTATTCTAGACGTAACATTTTATTTACCTATTCTAGACATAACGTTTTATTTACTTATACTAGACGTAACAATTTATTTACTTATTCTAGACGTAACGTTTTATTTACCTATTCTAGACGTAATATTTTATTTACTTATTCTAGACGCAACTTTTCTAGACGTAACGTTTTATTTAATTATTCTAGACGTAACATTTTATTTACTTATTCTAGACGCAACTTTTCTAGACGTAACATTTTATTTACCTATTCTAGACATAACATTTTATTTACTTATACTAGACGTAACAATTTATTTACTTATTCTAGACGTAACGTTTTATTTACCTATTCTAGACGTAACATTTTATTTACTTATTCTAGACGCAACTTTTCTAGACGTAACGTTTTATTTACCTATTCTAGACGTAACGTTTTATTTACCTATTCTAGACGTAACGTTTTATTTAATTATTCTAGACGTAACATTTTATTTACTTATTCTAGACGTAACATTTTATTTACCTATTCTAGAAGTAACGTTTTATTTACTTATTCTAGACGTAACATTTTATTTACTTATTCTAGACGAAACTTTTCTAGAAGTAACGTTTTATTTACCTATTCTAGACGTAACGTTTTATTTACCTATTCTAGACCTAACGTTTTATTTACCTATTCTAGACGTAACGTTTTATTTACTTATTCTTGACGTAACATTTTATTTACTTATTCTAGACGTAACGTTTTATTTACTTATTCTAGACGTAACTTTTTATTTACTTATTCTAGATGTAACGTTTTATTAACTTATTCTAGACGTAACGTTTTATTTACTTATTCTAGACGTAATGTTTTATTTACTTATTCTAGACGTAACGTTTTGTTTACTTATTCTAGACATAACATTTTATTTATTTATTCTAGACGTAAAGTTTTGTTTACTTATCCTAGACGTAACGTTTTATTTACCTATGCTAGACGTAACGTTTTATTTACTTATTCTAGACGTAACGTTTTATTTACCTATGCTAGACGTAACGTTTTACCTATTCTAGACGTAAAGTTTTATTTACTTATTCTAGACGTAACATTTTCTAGACATAACGTTTTATTTACTTATTCTAGACGTAATGTTTTATTTACCTATGCTAGACGTAACGTTTTACCTATTCTAGACGTAAAGTTTTATTTACTTATTCTAGACGTAACATTTTCTAGACATAACGTTTTATTTACTTATTCTAGACGTAATGTTTTATTTACTTATTCTATGCGTAAAGTTTAATTTACTTATTCTATGCGTAACATTTAATTTACTTATTCTAGACGTAACATTTTATTTACTTATTCTAGACATAACGTTTTATTTACTTATTCTAGACATAACGTTTTATTTACTTATTCTAGACGTAACATTTTTACTTATTCTAGACGCAACTTTTCTAGTCGTAAAGTTTTATTTACCTATTCTTGACGTAACGTTTTATTTACTTATTCTAGACGCAACTTTTCTAGACGTAACGTTTTATTTACCTATTCTAGACATAACGTTTTATTTACTTATTCTAGACATAACGTTTTATTTACTTATTCTAGACGTAACGTTTTATTTACTTATTCTAGACGTAACGTTTTACTTATTCTAGACGTAATGTTTTATTTACCTATTCTAGACGTAACATTTTATTTACTTATTCTAGACGCAACTTTTCTAGACGTAACGTTTTATTTACCAATTCTAGACATAATGTTTTATTTACTTATTCTAGACGTAACGTTTTATTTACTTATTCTAGACGTAACGTTTTATTTACCTATTCTAGACGTAACATTTTATTTACTTATTCTAGACGCAACTTTTCTAGACATAACGTTTTATTTACCAATTCTAGACATGTTTTATTTACTTATTCTAGACGTAACATTTTATTTACTTATTCTAGACGTAACGTTTTATTTACCTATTCTAGACGTAACATTTTATTTACTTATTCTAGACGCAACTTTTCTAGACGTAACATTTTATTTACCTATTCTAGACATAACGTTTTATTTACTTATACTAGACGTAACAATTTATTTACTTATTCTAGACGTAACGTTTTATTTACCTATTCTAGACGTAATATTTTATTTACTTATTCTAGACGCAACTTTTCTAGACGTAACGTTTTATTTAATTATTCTAGACGTAACATTTTATTTACTTATTCTAGACGTAACATTTTATTTATCTATTCTAGACGTAACGTTTTATTTACTTATTCTAGACGTAACATTTTATTTACTTATTCTAGACGCAACTTTTCTAGACGTAACATTTTATTTACCTATTCTAGACATAACGTTTTATTTACTTATACTAGACGTAACAATTTATTTACTTATTCTAGACGTAACGTTTTATTTACCTATTCTAGACGTAACATTTTATTTACTTACTCTAGACGCAACTTTTCTAGACGTAACGTTTTATTTACCTATTCTAGACGTAACGTTTTATTTACCTATTCTAGACGTAACGTTTTATTTAATTATTCTAGACGTAACATTTTATTTACTTATTCTAGACGTAACATTTTATTTACCTATTCTAGAAGTAACGTTTTATTTACTTATTCTAGACGTAACATTTTATTTACTTATTCTAGACGAAACTTTTCTAGAAGTAACGTTTTATTTACCTATTCTAGACCTAACGTTTTATTTACCTATTCTAGACGTAACGTTTTATTTACTTATTCTTGACGTAACATTTTATTTACTTATTCTAGACGTAACGTTTTATTTACTTATTCTAGACGTAACTTTTTATTTACTTATTCTAGATGTAATGTTTTATTAACTTATTCTAGACGTAACGTTTTATTTACTTATTCTAGACGTAATGTTTTATTTACTTATTCTAGACGTAACGTTTTGTTTACTTATTCTAGACATAACATTTTATTTATTTATTCTAGACGTAAAGTTTTGTTTACTTATCCTAGACGTAACGTTTTATTTACCTATGCTAGACGTAACGTTTTATTTACTTATTCTAGACGTAACGTTTTATTTACCTATGCTAGACGTAACGTTTTACCTATTCTAGACGTAAAGTTTTATTTACTTATTCTAGACGTAACATTTTCTAGACATAACGTTTTATTTACTTATTCTAGACGTAATGTTTTATTTACCTATGCTAGACGTAACGTTTTACCTATTCTAGACGTAAAGTTTTATTTACTTATTCTAGACGTAACATTTTCTAGACATAACGTTTTATTTACTTATTCTAGACGTAATGTTTTATTTACTTATTCTATGCGTAAAGTTTAATTTACTTATTCTATGCGTAACATTTAATTTACTTATTCTATGCGTAACGTTTTATTTACTTATTCTATACGTAACGTTTTATTTATTCTAGACGTAACGTTTTATTTATTCTAGACGTAACATTTTACTTATTCTAGACATTACATTTTATTTACTTATTCTAGATGCAACATTTTATTTACTTATTCTAGACGTAACGTTTTACTTATTCTAGACATTACATTTTATTTACTTATTCTAGATGCAACATTTTATTTACTTATTCTAGACGTAACGAAGGTAAACTTTAATGAGGATTCTTTGCGGCCAAATAATAATGAAAAACCAAACGAGTGTGAATTTTCAAAATGTTTATTAACTGAACAACAAACAGGATAAAACCAAAAGTCTTCATGAATAAACTAAGAAATAAATCTGGATGTTTCTGTGTTTTGACTCCAGATGAACACCAATAGCATAAAGCAACCTAACATTTACATGAAATCTGAAAAAGAAGATCAAATATATGATTTGATTTCATCTAAATAAGTTTGAAATTTAGGGCCTTTTACATATAATTTCATCAGAGACAGTTTTGAACCTTTACTCACAAACACATCAAACACACGAGCTGCTGACCTCATATCTGAATTCTTGCTGCATTCAGGCAAATATGATGAATGTAATAAAGACACAGCTCTAATAAGGAGTCAAACTAGTTTTAAAAAAGAGAGCAAGTATAAAAAAACAACAAAAACCTGTTTAAATTTGTTTTAGGAACAAAGTTGACATACACAACTACCCCAAGATGACGTCACAAAAACATCTAGACGTGTTTGTGTTCCTACGCTCGGGGTGTTACAGAGACAAAAATGTCTAATGTTGCCTGAGGGACTTAAACACTTAAATGACAATCATAAATATTTAACAGTTAGCATTGATGGCTGTTTTTTAGTCCAACATGAAGTAAATAGAAGCAGAAGAATCTGGAGCTCTAGAAGATGTCTGCTCCAATGCTCCAACGTTCTAAACACTATAGGGGTTACTGTGTGTGTGCGTGTGTGTGTGTGTTCCAATTAGTGCCGCGGTCCACTCAGTCGTAGGTGAGGTATACCTGCAAAAGGATCAACACAAATTTGTAAAAAAATAATAATTCTTCAAGTCTTGTTGAATTCCTGAACTTTCCAACAGCTTCCAGTGTGGACGATTCACATAGAAATCAGCAGAACATTTAACCTCAAAGTAAATCTTCATCTTCTTTGAAATTCTAGCTTTTTCTAAATCTCAAATCTACTTCATCATGATCACGGCGTTTTGTTGCAAGCTCTCACCTGGGCCAGACAGCAGTGGAGGACGGGAGCCCTGTAGCGACGGAGGACCCATCCTGGCCCCGTGTGGGCCCCTGGGGCCAAGGTGGAGTAGAGGTCCGTGATGGAGGAGGGGTCCCCGGGATGAACCTGGGCCGCCGTAATGTCCGGATGGGCCCCCTCTTGGGATTGGAGGCCCTAGGGGCAGACTGGGAATCCGATGCAATGAAAGGAGCGGCGGAGGTTTGGATTTGGTAAAAGAACCTGAAGAGGAACATATTTCAGAATTTTCACAACTCCACTGGATTTGGTTCAGGATGTTCCTCAACTAAATCATCTAAATGGTAAATGGTCTGAACTTTATATGGTTCTAAAAACCACCAGCGCGCTTTACAACATAAACAGTCATCTATCCAAGCAAACACACATTCACACACTGGTGGTGTGAAGGTTGCTTTATGCTCGAGGTCCACACAGCACCGCGCGGAAAAGTTGCGTCATTTTAACAACCACGGCCCTCCACCGCGCCTCCGCACGGCCCAGAATTTCCGCAACGTGCACCTCGGAAAATTTCTAACCACGCGGACGGACAGACGCGGAAAAACATGGCGGACCGGCAAGAACTAGTATGGCAGAGGTTCGTAAATACAGACAGTTGTATGATTCAGCTCTCAGAGATCACCGTGAACAACATGTTGTTAATAATTCTTGGAGAGAAATAGCTCGCACTGTCGGAAAAGACGAGAGCGCTGTTAAATATGCTGAAATGCCATGTTGTAAACAGAAATTTCTACTTCTACTATGGTGTAGTGTTGGGTGCATGCTGTAGAGCTCCATGCTGCCCCGTTCAGTTTGGGAGAATATTGGCTCACCGCAGAGACGAGCTGCATGAACCATGAACGCTGCGAGTTGTGAAGCGCGTTCCATCCGCGAGCCGCATCACCGCGCGGAAAGTGAATGCGTCAAGCATAAACCAAGCTTTAAACTGCAATAGCCATAGCTGCCCTGGGGCGCACTGAGAGGCTGCCGAGTACTGGGACCGCCAGTTCCCCCAACCACCAACAGGAGGCATGGTAGGTTGTGTCTCGTCTTTAAGCTAATGCAGGAGATAGGTGTAGGACGCTATGTTCAAGTTTAGCCTGCATGTTGGTTTCTCAGTGAAGGACCTCTTTAAAACTCTTAAAAGGTGCAACGTGACATTTCTCCCCCACTGATGAGATTCATTAAATATGATCAGTGTGTTGCTCCTAACCTGGTGTAGGCAGGAGAGGTGCGGGTGAAGGCTGGGAAAATTCCAAAAGGGACCCTCCCGGTAGTGGTGCAGGCTGAGTAGGTCCAGGAGGAGTAGGGAGCAGAGGAGGCGGTTTCCCCAGTCCAGAAGGCACCATCTCCCCCTTCTCGTCCTCGGTGTCTAAGGCCATCGCTTCAAAAACAGATGAAAGGAAGAAAAAACCAGCAGGAACTTAAAGACTGAAGTAGGAGCGGCTCAGTCTGACTCAGTAAAACCATCACCCGGCGTCTCACCTTGCAGGTGGTCCTGTCGAGAGCTGACATACTCCGAAATGGTTTCCAACTCCTCAGCGTACAGATGCACCCCCTCGGCTAAAAGCAAGAGCAGATTCCGTGTCTCAGAAGGAACGATGTGCCGTGCGACCTTTTCTCGATCCAGGAAGTCGTCCAACAGCTGCGACGCCTCGGCTGCGATATCCGCAGGGTCCTTCTGGGGGGATTCTTTGACGAGTCCGCGGCTGTACTCGGCTTGGACAAAGTCCAGGGCCTGGTCTTTAGGCATGTTGCGGTGGACTGGAGGGTAAATGGGGTGTTAGTGCTATCGGGTGAATTAAGGCGTGTGTAATGATTTTGGGTTTTCTCGGATATCCGAGATGCTTTTTGTTGTTTTATATGATCAGAAATTGTCAGGAAGGTTGAACAAAAGTGAGTATTTCTGAACTTTGAGTTTTTTAGAAAACACCAGAGAGGTGTGCTTCTTCTGAAAATCCGTTTTAGTAAATAATTCTTGTTTAGCCCTGAGTGTGTAAATGGAAAGTTTAAGCAGGATAAAAATGAGTGTTTATAAATACCCCCCTAATCAACTGAATCCAACAATGAGAGGTGGTTTTAGTCTTTCAAAGGTGCAGAATTATTATGGTGTCATGTCTTTGGGCAAAAGTATTTTAGTTTTCTGTTTTGTGATTCAGTCTTTCTAGACATTTTATGCACTGTTAATGAAAGCATGGTGCAATAATTTGAAAAGTAATAATCAGTGATGTTTTTTTGAATTTCAGCTAATTAAACAGCTGAGTGGAAAGCAACCATCACAACCTGCGACATTTCAGAGCATTAGGTCACCTGTTCTGTTGGTGAGACCAAACCTCTGACAGGAAAAATCAGTCATCTACTTCATTAGTTTCCTTTCGGTTCAGTGGGACAAAAGCAAAACAGGACTTCCTGCTATTCTGAACATGATGCAAAACTCGGATCTGATCGTTTCACTTGGAGCAGCAGAAACTGAAAGATGCTCGATCGTAGAAAGACGTCATAATTGTGATTATCTGAGTTTTCTAAGGTGGCCCAAATGGTTAAAAAATCCAAAAGGCAACCAAATAAGCAGCAACACAACAACTTTACCTACAAAATAAGTCGTAATAAAACAGAAATTTCAAGAAAACAGAAGTTGTGCTCGACAGGTGATGTCAATGTAGCTATCCCCGACAAAACTCGTTTCCCTTAGGTCTGGGACACACGCTTTTATTATCAGTGTTCATAACTTTTCAGAGCAAACAGCATCCAGGACATCTGGAAACGAGTTGTTGATTTGTTGAGAACGCGGTATTGAGTATTTGTGTAGTTTATGTAGGGATGCTGGTTGACCATGAAATATAAATCCCATTGGCTGTTAATCCTCCAGACAAAGAAAAAAGTTCTGAAAGAACAGCTAAATGCTCATAGCTGGTGCCCGACATGCCCCAAGCTCTAAATGTGTTTCGGTAAGATCGCCGGTCCGCTGTAACTGTATGGGCATGCACCCCGTCCCGTGTTGGTCTGCAAAAGTGTTTACACAGACATAAATATTCTCTTATTAGAGAAATGCTCCTAGTTTGTTGGAAAATTCATGGAAACAAATTGTGTCAGGGATAATTTTCACGGTCAACTTTTTTTAATATAGCGCCTTCACATGGCCAACGGGCCAAACAATGTGCTGCACACCATCGCAGAGACAAATTTTACACATAAAAACATAAAACAGACATGGACTAAAACAAACAGCAATCAAACCCAAAGATCCAGCGCAGCGCCCATCGTTCAAACGAGTGAGACCGAAAAACAAGCAACAGCCACCTACTAGCACAGAGCCTTGTGACTAAACCAAGCAAAAGTCTGTTTTTAAACGGCTCTCATAAGTTGCTGGGCGAAGGGGCCTGCTTCACGTCTGCCAGCAGATCCTTTCTGAGCATCTGTCCCATGACCAACAAGGTGCAACTCCCTTAAAACTTGAGTCTATGCTTGGGCACCATCATCAGTCCCTGCTCAGCTGACTGAAGGGGGCCCGATGGGGTGTACGGGTGAATCAGATCAGACCGTCCCTTTAAGAATTCAAAAACAAACAAGATTACTTTCGATAACTACTTTGGAACGACTCCTGTTGATCACAACTTGGGTATTTCTGTTTCGATATTACTTCTGTTGTAGGTAAAGTTGTGCTGCAATTGACTTTATGTTTTGCTTTTTACTGATTTGTACGAGCCATCCTTTTAAAGTTGTATGAATTCTGTTTAGAAATAAATAGGTTCATCTCAATAGGTCTCAACAGAGTTTATGATGTTGCTGTGGCTCAGCGCATGAGGGTTTAATAATGGAAACATATTTTCAGTCACCAACGGTGTGCTCCTGTTTTAGTGCTGTATTGTAAAAGCCTTGTGACACATGCATGAATTTACCCACTTTATTCCCTTCTTTTAATGATAATTAGAAGCCAAAAACACAAATTTGAATAACTGTTAAGTCCTAAACGAGAACAAATGACCCACTTTCAAAATATGACACAAGTTGTAATACCTTGGTTTTGTTTATGGTTTTTTGAACTTTAGGTTTAGTTTGTCTGCAGAGTTGTGTATCTAGGAAGAATCCTGGTGACATTTGCTGGTAAATTCAGTGAAGCTTTGCTTACTTTTTAATTATTTATGTGAAGGTTTGAGCTTTATGTTGATGTTTAAATGTTAGCTTTACTTGTTTTTTAGAGATCACATTTAGTTATGTGTTGTGCAAAATACACTTTAGGACGGCACAGAGGGCTGTGTGGTTCGGGCAGAACGAGGGGTTCAAACTTACTTTTGAGGGATTCTGAAAATATGATAACTGTGCAGGAAGACAGAGCTATGTTTTTCTGCTCCACCAGTATGCATAATGGGGAGCCATCAGCGCGGACATCCTGCAGGGCCCGGGTCAGGCCCGATTCCACTTGTAGGAAAAGCATTTCAACCGATAGACCACGCTCCTGCAAGCTCTGGCTCAGCGATTTGGGGTAATCCCTTTGAGAGGAAGAGAAACACTTTGTTAACTTGACATTCCTGCTCTAGTGACGTAAGTGGTATAAAGAGGAACCATTTCTGTGTGGAGTAGAGTTTGTGCTCTGATGAAAGTAAGTTATATTCAACAAAACTTCTAAATTATTTGTTGGGTTTTTGGGGGCAGAAAGTCAGAGTGTAATATGAAACCTTGGCTTCTGTATGCTTGTTTCTGTATTAAAGTTCCTAGCAGCCTAGTGTAAGCCGGGATCTCACTGGGACATGGCTGTTGGAAAACCCATCACAAGCTGCACTCGCGAGTTTCCCAAGTGAAACAAGTTTAAAGTTTTACAGGTCATATTTCCTCTCACAATACTCCAAGGTAAAAGAGGGCATCAAGGATCTGTCTTCGTTTAGTTTGTGACAGGGATGTCCCGTTCCGATATCGGCCCAAAAACACTGCATCAGGTTAGAAATGGCCTGCATTTGATATAGCGCCTTCTGGAGTCTTGGAACCCCCCCAAGGTGTTTTACAACACAATCAGTCATTCACCCATTCACATGCTGGTGGGGATGAGCTACAATGTAGCAACAGCTGCCCTAGGGCGCACTGACAAAGGCGAGACACCATCGGTCCCTCCGACCACCACCAGTAGGCAAAGGGGGTTAAATGTCTTGCCCAAGGACACAATCACAGCGACAAGCTGAGCGGGGCTCGAACCTGCAGCCTTCCGATTACGGACAAACACTTGTCTTGCTCTTGTGCCATCATCACCCCATAATATGGGACTGCATCAAAATTCTCCGATATTAGCAATACGTTCCACTTTAAATTCCATTCCAGCAATTCTATCCTCCATCAGCGCCCAGCTCCAGCATGCAACATCCACATGATCAGAGCAGTGTGTGCTAGCAAAGTAGCTAGGAACAATGTCGGCCATGTGGCCGTATTTTTCGTTAAGTCTGAAAAAGACCGTTTGGCTGAGTGCAACACTTGTCATGCACAAGTCCCCATCCCGTGGTGGAACAGAACCGAGGAAGATGAATACGTCCAACCTCATCGTGCGTTAGAAGCAGAATCACAAAACGTTGCAGGATTTTCTGTGTGTGTGAAACTGAAACTTTAGACACTCAACTTGTAGCAGTTGGTCAGTGAACAATATTGTGACATTTTCCTTATGTCCCTGACCTCAGCTGTTCACATTTATGTAACCAAAGGTTAATAAAAAAATTGGTAATTTTTTATACTTGCTGTTGCTGGTTTTTGTTTTCTGTTTGAGTAAAATCACCTGATCAGGCCTTTTATACATTCCACACTACGAAGTAGGTAAAAGTACGTATGATTTGTGCTGATATCATATCGGATTGATTTCGGTATCTGTCAGTTCTGATGGATGAAATATCAGTATAGTATCGGTAAAGTGAAAAAAGTTGTATCGGGACATCCCTGGTTTGTAAGTCAGAATGTGAGGCGACTTTGGGACGAGTTAGAAACCAAAAAACTAAGTTAGAGGGGATAAAACTAGAAAACTGACACAAAATTGCTTGTTTATTTGCAGATTTGACACTCAGAAACGTGTCGTACGCACTAATTCAGTGATTTTAACTCAGCATTTGTGTATTTACCTGTAACTTGGTGTCTCCAAACAGCCCGGTGCCCGGTGAGATTCAGGCTTTAGTCATAGCCGTGACAGACGAGGATTTTTATATAAAAAATGACATTTCTGTCTGTAATATCCCTCAAGAAGGGTTTAAGTCAGATTTTTACAACTTCCAACTCATGACAGTCAATTAGAGCAAAATATGTGCATGGTGATTGACTAAAACTGTGACAACAGGAGGGACAACCAGAGTTTTGTTTTTTGCACTTTCATTTAAAATACTTAAGAATAAGCTTCAGAAAAAAAATTATTTTATTATGATTTACCCCAAATTCACAATGGAGGCATCAGCGGCACGGAACAGCAGCGAGACGATTTAATAGACGAGTGCTTCGCTGCCGTCCTCCTTATTGGGCTTACAAGATCACAAACTCCTCGAGACTTCAAAGGTCCCGGTATGTGAAATCACGTTTGACATTCCTGTATGATGTCACATATGTTGTTCCTCTCTACTGCCAGGATATAAGCCATGAAAAACAAGCCACTGCATTTTTCATAAGACGCTGGGAGTAAATAAGCGGTTAGGTCTCATGTATTGGTGTAATCAACACAGATATAAAATCTCATCTCTGCAATGGTCTTTAATTTTGAAAATTACTAAACGTTTTACACTGAAATCGTAAGTGATTTCCTGTCTAGCCTAATCCTAACTCATTCGCTGCCAGCGTTTCTCGCAGTTTTTACTGTTTTTTTAACCCTTTGATGCATGAATGATGAAATCTTCAACCATGATTTTTTTAACTTTTTTTTTTCATTTGTCTTTAAGTGTGAATGAAACAAATTTCAACAAATATTTTTTGTAAAATTTTATAATTTACAAATAATTTATTACATGTCCACTTCAGTGGGCAGCGTGCATTCTGAGCATGAAATATGTTGGCTCGGCTTCCTGAAGTCCAAATGGAGGGACTCAAATGCAATAAAGTCTTCAACAGCTGTGCTTAATAGCAAAAACAAATAAATAACAATTTTGAGTACCTGTCCACTGTAGTGACCGTTATGCATCAAAGGGTTAAGAGTCACAGAACATTGCGCACTAGGATGATGTCGACGCCAAAACAACCAAAACAAAGCGGAGACTCACCTCTTACATCAGGAAGAATCCGTGTGTTTCGAGCGTTATCCGTTCTTTCATAATCCGTTGTTGAATTGTGATCGGCAGAGGCTTTTCCGGTTTGCGCCTCACTTTTTTTAAGGCAGCGGCCCAAAACAATCTCCTAACACATGGATTTTCTGCTTCCTGATCATGTGACGTATGCGGATGAAGATCGGCTTTAGAGCTGAGATGTTGGATCTCACAGTGCGTGGGGCTCGTTCCGACGCCCACACAGTAAAAACATGCAAATGACAACTTTAGTCGTCATTGGCAGTGAATGAGTTTACTGTGGAAATTGACGTTTGCCAGAAGTGGCTCGCGGCAAAAATGAAACCCAGTACTAACTTTAGCGGTGCAGCGAGCCGCACTTGAAATGTTCCGCGCCACGGTGGGTTTGAATCAACCCATAGACTAATGGATTCAGGGTTTCCTCCAGCGTCCTATAAGCCTGGCGGGCCGCCCCTCGCCAGGCCAAGCGTCCACCCCCCACCCCCAGCACACACTCTGACGGGGCTTAGCATGTTTACTGGGGGGCCCTGACGGATTCCTTTTGAAGCAGCAACGTTCCACGCCGCTGATGCATCCAGTGTGGATTGGGGGTCAGTCTCTACAGAAACTCCTCTGCTGTTTGTGTTTGGTACAGGCAACGGTCAAGCCTCCTGGCCTGTTTGACTTGTGTGTGCACCGATCCATAAACAGAACTGCAAACATTTTTACAAAAAGGTCAACAAAGGCTTCGTCACATACACAAAGCAAACCTAAAGTGTTCTTACAGGTTCCATTAGAATGTTGCTTTTCTGCTCAAATGGGACTAATTTGATTGCAGAAATTATTATATTACATTTCCACCTAATAATCCCAAATCCTAGCCATGCACCAAGTTGTGCACATGCATTTCCCTGACCACCTCCCTGAGTTTAAACCTGCTCCTGCTGCAGGGAAAAGTGACATAAAATCAAGTAGCTCAGCAGGTAGAGCAGGTTGTCCAGTAATAAGAGGGTTGCAGGATCCATCCTGGCTCCCGGCAGAGAATGCTGCAGTTATGCCCTTGGGCAAGACCTTTCACCCACCTTGCTTGCTTGTGGTGGTCAGAGGGACCGGTGGCACCTGTGTTTGGCAGCCTTGCCTCTGTCAGTGTGCCCCAGCGCAGCTGTGGCTACATTGTAGCTCATCCCCACGTGAGTGAGTGAGTGTGTGTGTGTGTGTGTGTGTGTGTGTGTGTGTGTCTGTGTGTGTGTGTGTGTGTGTGTGTCTGTGTGTGTCTGTGTGTGTGTGTGTGTGTGTATGTGTGTGTGGACGATTCACTGTAGTGTAAAGCGCTTTGGAGTCCTCCGACTCTGAAAGGCGCTATACAAGTGCAGGTCATTCATCATTACTTAAATTATGCTTGTATTTGAATAAATACAAACATGTTTGATGAATTCAGAAACAGCTGTGAAGAACATTTAGATGTATGTTTTGTATGTTCATGAATCGGAGTAGGAAACAAACTCCGCAATCGTGTAAAAATATTTGTTCTTTAGTATTTTGAATGAGAAATTCGGTGTTAGGATCACAACTGTAAACATCCTGGTTTTCAATGTGAAGAAGATTTATGGTTTGTGTGTGTGGCGTGGCTGGGACTCAACAAGAACACAGAATGAAGCAGGTTCAGAGGACAAGCAAAGGAAACTCCAGACACTTCTCCAGGTTGATCCCGAGGCGTTCCCAGGCCAGAGGGGATGTCTGGTAACTCCAGGGAATTCTGGGTCTGAATGTGATCACACTGGATTTAATCTGATAGAATGTGCTGTTGGGAACCCTGATCCTGAAATTTGGAGCAAACTGTGTTTGAAAACCCTAAAAGCCAAAGACTGATTATTTTATGGGAATTTCAGCTGATTTACAGAATCTTTGTGATACCAAGTAGGGATGTCCCGATCAGGTTTTTTTTGCCCTCGAGTCCGAGTCATTTGATTTTGAGAATCTGCCGATACCGAGTCCCGATCCGATACTTTTGATAGATAAAAAAATAATAATAAAGAAAAGAAACAGTTCCAGAATGTTCCTTATTTTTTATTTGATTACCTTTTTATTTTAATGTTTACCAAAAGATCACTTCTGTGAGGTAGCTTGAACAATCAAGTAATAAATAACAAATTCTTCACTTTTGGACTTTATTGCAAATATAAAAAGTCTAATATAAAAACAGATGGCACTTCACCTTAAAATGCCTGGCAGGGGTCTATTTTGCCTCGGCCCCCAAAATGCTTGGATACGCCCCTGGGCATGGGACGGAGTTTTGAAGATGATCTGAATTGTATCAACTATATAAAAACTACATGCTGATAAATTATTGCTTTATACAGGTACAAACGTGTAGTGGGATCAATCTACCTACTTTATTTTTTAAGAACTTTGTTTATTTTTTCTTGGTTTTTACTTTCCCGTCTTCCTGTCCTGTCTGTCTCTGATCTTCCTGCATCTCCCAGTCCTCCAGAAAAACTCCGGCCTGCTTCCTTCTTTTTCACCTCACAAGTCACTTTTTAACTAGCAGATCAAATTGATCTACTGACCGGAATAAAAGTGGGGTGTGCGCCGCGCTGCCCGGCTGCGCTGGTGACGAGCGCTGCAGCGCGGTCCACACGTCATGCTCAAATACAGACAGAACTTACCAGAGAGAAAATGAACTGATACGAACGGCCGTGTGTTAATTGTATATTTTTGGTGACGCCACTTAGAAACTTAGAAAATGTTGCTGTGGCCGTGTGCAGAACGCAGCTGGAGTTCATGAATGATCAGCGGTCTGCCTGCCGCTCTGCCCAAAAGAACCCCCGCTACTCTGAGTCCATGTAAATAATATAATAAAGGTAGAAACTGGATCTTTTCTGTGCTCCTTCTGGGTGTGTAAGTTAAGGGCATCAGGGGAGCCTGACAACCTTTAAGGAGAACCAAGTTGCTCTCCTGTAATTTGAACCCAGTATCCGAGTCCGGATCGGAGCTTGGATCGGGAAGTAAAGCCCGAGTCCCAATTAGTCTGAAACCACGTGATCGGGGTCGATTTCCAATCATGTGATCGGATCGGGACATCCCTAATACCAAGCATGGAAAACCATTTAGTTACTTTGTTTAAAATGTGAAATGAAAAAACAAAGACGTATCTAGAATATGTTACTGATGATTGAAGATTAGCAGCAATTAATTTTTCACAAAAAAAAACACATTTTAATTATTTTTATGTATGGTGATGAGTAGAAGATGGCTATCATTTTACTTTATTTTAATAAAGCAGTGTGTGTGGTGGAAATGGGAATCTGCAGTTCCAGAATGAGTTACGGATAAAACCTAAAGATTTTGTCTGCTGGGAAAAAAAACATTAATCAGGGACTTGATGTGAATTATTAAAAACTCCTGATTGAAAAATTCAATCCACAGCTTAAACGGATGGTTTCTCTTATGTTGTTTTATGTGTCTTTGATGAGATTTCTGACTGTGATGCAAGACTGCGTGGTTCAGTCTTGTTGGGTGGAAGAATCAGTATATTTTTGTTTTTATTATATCAGAAAATTGTGTTTTTAAATGTAGAATCTTGTAGAACCCCTAAATAACACAAACAGATGGTTTTATCAGAGATCAACCACATTTACATTTAGAAGTTGCCATTTAAAACTGAGGAACATTTGCCCAGAACTATTTATTTTCATCTTCACAGGAAGAACTCACAGGCACTTGTTGGTGACCGAGAGGACCACGCAGTCGGCCGGTTTCCTCTCCTCCTGGACCTGTCTGTAGAACTTCTGGTACAGGGTTTTACGTCTGTCTGCCGGGGTGCAGCTCTCAGCCTTCACGACTGAAACACAGATGGAGAGCGGTGAATGGTGGTTTTAGTAACCTTAAAGGGACTTTACGGAGGTTTTAATTTTTATGCTCGCAATTGCCCCCTTAGGCCAAAAGCGTGACGGCAGCTTCAATAGCAGGCTCGTGCACGAGGCGCGCATGCCATACGTGCACACTCCTTAACAAAAGTAACAGCTGAGACAGTCGTCCGTCCGTCCGTCCGTCCGTGCGTGCGTCCGTGCGTGTGTGCGTGTGTGTGTGTGTGTGTGTGTCCCGGAGGACAGAGGACAGGAGAACACGCAGCTAATTCATTAAATAATTTGGTTCTGTAGCTTTCTCTTCAGCACAGCCGACAAAGGTTTAAGATGGGTCAGTCCTCCTGCATGCTCAGATCATTCCCTTCCCTTGCTTGAAAAATTGTTCCAAAATGAAAGTTGAACCCACATCTTTTTATCTGTGAATTCAACGCCGTTCGGCGAGTCTCAAATAAAGAATTTGTGCATCTTACTGTAAAAAAAATATACCATTAATGTAAAAAAGAAACTAAATAAACTTATGTTCACATCCAGAATCAAACCCAGGTCTTCTGCATGGGAGTCAGACATCTTACAAGGTGAGCTACACTCTAGTAACATTGAATCTAACATTTATATCCTCGATGACACCTGAAACAACGTCAAACCAAAAAACGGTTTGAAGCGACAATGGCTATTTTGTTGCCAATGGGTTGCAGAAAGTTCTACAGAAAGTAGCTAAGGGTCCTCAGAAATGTAGCTAGCTTTGTCACTAGGCGTTAGGAACAGCGACAAAGTGGCACTGCCTCTCTCTCTGCTGCTAAAGCTACGGACAGCAAATGCTACGGGCGATGCCTGAGCGTGAACGCGCATGAAGCAGCCTGCTCGACCCGAGCATCTCTCTTTTTCTGTGATTTTACAGAAAAACAGGCAATCACAGTAAAAATGCCAGGGCTCATTCTACAGGACCAGGGCATTGCAGGAGAATGTATGAAGAAGAAATTTATTATTTCTATACATGTTTTAGCTGTCAAACTTCCATAATGCCCCTTTAAAACAGGCTTTGCTAGCTGCAACCTAATTAGTATAAATAAATGTGTTAAGCAGAAGTGGTTGATTAAAAACGCTATGAAAAACCATTTTAGTGAATGTTTTATGTGTTGCTTGTATTAAATAAAGAGGCTGAGTCTCACCTGTCGGCTGATGCTTGAACGTTTCCACTTTGACACTAGAGAAGGTCTGAAGTTGTTCCAGTTCTTCATAACTGACAGAAAAGCAGTGAAAAAAAGTATTTAATCTTTAATGCAAACATTTTAGATGTGATCATTTCTGGAGTTATGATCATTTTTACTACAGCTGAAACATACCGTTAAAAAAAAAACGCCACTATGCGATAAATATAAAACGCTTGTGGTTCACTTTAAATGGATAACTTGCCCAAAAAAAGGAACACTTAATTTCTCTTCAGGTTTCTTGACATTTAGCGTTTTGCAAAATTTGCAGCTGAATTGTTGATTTGTGGTATTTTAGATACAAGTGACCTAAACACACAGGTGGGGTTTGTGCCGGCGTAACTGATGTAGTTTGAGCCACGAGCACAAAAAAAACACCAACAAGGACAAAACCAAGCTGCAGGGCTGAGGAATGGCAGCTCAACTCGACTTCACAATAAGATAAGACTAAACAAACGGTAAGAAAACAACAGGAACTGAAAAGGGTCTTGAAACAAAAGATATTTGGAACAAGGGGGAAAGTCACAAGATAAAAGGCATTAGCACTGGATCAATAAGTATTGTGTGAAGTTAATTTGATGCCGGTAAGGCCCATCACAATCTACTACTGAAGGTCCCATATGGGAAAAAACACTATTTTATGTGCATAGAACTGCCATTTCTGTGGGGGGGGGGGGGGGGGGGGGGGTCCCCCGGAACTGCGCTGCTCTGGGTGGCTGCATGTTGGAGTAGATATGTTGACTACACTTAAGTTTTGCCTTTTCTTGGACATTTTTTCTTCTAGTTTCTCAAGAAAAACTGTATTTTGTTGGACTCTACACTTTTCTGTTTCTGGTGCTGTGAAGCTTGGAGGATTTTTACTGCTATTTTTTTAGCTTTTTTCACTTTTTGAGCATTTGTTGTTATGTGTAACCATGGCAACAAGATGGTTTACAACCGGGAGCAGCTGATTGGAAAGGCTGAAATAATACCTCAACTGAAGCCACAAATCCCAAATGAGCTGAAACGCAAGTGTGTGCAGAGCGGGAGCAAAACGGAGACAGAGAAAGAGGAAATTCAAACCATCTCTTCCATCGACCATAATGGGCAATGTGAGATCACTGGCCAACAAGACAGAGGAACTCCAAGCCCTTTCAAGGACTCAGCCAGAGTTTCGGCAGTTTCGGAACCGCTGGAGGAGATGATGCAAAGAAGGATTCTCCAGAGAATCAAGAAAATGATGGACAACCCTGAGCGTTCTCTTCACAAGACTGTCCGACAACGGAAGAGTGTCTTCACTCAGAGACTTCTTCAGTTTGGCTGCAACACTGACCGCTACTGGAGATCCTTCCTGCCAACAGCCATTGTAATATACAACAACTCTTTGACGACTTGATTATTCTTATTATTCTGAGCTACTACAGCAATCAATTTCCCTCTGGGACTAATAAAGTATTTTTGAACTGAATTGTTTTTTCCAAAGAATGCCATTGATAAAAAGTCCACATTATGCAGAATGTAGTCTGGCCATTTATGGCTCTCAGTCATGGGGTGGAATCTACGGTTGTCTTTTAAGCTGTCTCTGCGTGCTATTGGATAGCAAACTACGTGGTTGGTTAGCTAGCTTAGTAGTTGCAGCTTCGGTGGCTAGCGGGTAGTAACTCACTTATAGATTTAATTTAACAAACATATACACAATTTAAAAAGTAAAAGCTCATTATATATTTATATCGAAACTTAAACGTATAAAATATAACGTTATCTCCTGTGTCACATGACCGACGTGGAAGCCGCGCTCACGTAATGCAAGTCTGTTTCATGTAACCGTTTTCTTTGACCAAAGAAGGACAGTGTCCTCGTAAGCAAAGTGCCATGACATTGAGAAACACCCAGAGTTTAAATTTATGTTTTACGTTTGTTTTATATTTGAAGTTAAATAAATATTAAGAGACTTATTGATTTATTTAATTTATATTACACACAGTGAGTGTTCAGTTGTCTTTCACAATCAATGTGCTGCTAAAACATGTATATATATCTGCCTTAATAATCGGCTTTAGATATCGGCAACAAAACTCTTTAGATATCGGCATTGGCCTTAAAAAAACCATATCGGTTGGCCTCTAGAAAGAGCTACATAAAAGATTGAAAAAAGACATTGTTTTTCTAAATAAACACGCTGAGTTGGTTAGCGGCTCCTGCAGAAAACTTTCACTTTATTACAGAAACAGAAATATATCTGACACTTGATAAAGTAACAAAACTAATTTAATTGTAAAATTTATTTTTTTTACCAGTCAGTCATGTTTAGCATTAGGGATGGATAACATATCTGCATCAATATCGGTAACGGCCGATGTTAGTCATTTTTTTTACATATCGGTATCTGTTCGATAAATAAAACCGGGCCGATTTTAACAACTGATATTTTTTCCATCTTGTCTCCATTTGTTTGCCTGTTTCAGAGGGTGAGGGGGGTGATGTGTAATTGTTTATTCATTTGAACAGTGAATGAAATCATCTCAGAACCCTAAATATGTATGTTGTGTTGCATAGTAATGCAAATTCAGCTTTAATAAATTTCATTCTATACAAAATCTACTGATTTTAGAAGCATTAATGTCAGTATATCGTATCGGCAACTATCGCTTATCGCTTATCTTAATATCGGATATCAGCCCAAAAATTTCATATCGGTACATCACTCTTTAGCATCAATATGCCCCGTTTTCCTGTGGGAGTAGCTACCAGTGCAAATTTTGACATTTAATAGACTAAAATGCTGTTTTTAGAGGAAGTAATCAGCATACAGTACCAAGGGTAAACAAAGTAACATAATACATTACAAAATGCATTTTTAAGTATTCAGTATTTTGTAAATAAATACATTTACAAAGTAATCTCCCCAATACCGGTCTTGAATTCATTCTAAAATATATAAATTTATGCTGATGCTATTTCATAAACTTTAAACACCAATATAAACAGTCACAAAGTTTCCATTTCTTTACTGATATACCCATAAAGACCTGGTATCAAACCCATCTGTGTAGTAAATACCTACCGAGGTATGTGTGGTGTGAGGTTACATGTATGTTGGAGTAAAGCTTTACGAACATTAGCTGCTATAATTTTTAGTGCCGTGTTATGCCAAAAGTTTCTAACTGGATCTGTTCAGACTAGCGGTTAGCTCATGAATTTGGTCTGATAATCTGCGTTTCTCCAAACTGATGTTGTTGAAAGAACCATCTTCCACCATGACTGCGCGCAGACGCAATAAAACACATTAAAATAAGATCTGCATGTTAATTTGCAGCAACGCGTGTTAAAATGCGGCTGGAGGTCTCGTGTAAAACGGGTACCTTTCCAAGGCATCCTTTAGCTCCTCGGTCCTCTCCTCCCTGCTCGGGTATGGAGCTGCCCTCCGGTACAAACGGACAGACTGAGCACTGAAACACAAGCAGGAAGAAGCCTATTTAAACCCATGATTACATCTAACTAAATGAAGTTTAGCTGTGATGTAAAAATCGGTATTTAGCTTTCTGCGCTTGCTAACAGCCGGCTAACTACTGATGCTAACATGTCCGACAACAGACCCACCTTCCGTTAGAACTGCCGGGCCTCCGTCCTCCTGAGCCGGATTTTGCCCAAGACGACATTTTGTCTTAGCTTTGATGGACGAAAACTTTTAGACAGTAAAGAAATATACTAATGATGTTTGCACTGGTGGTTGAGAAGGGAGGAAGATTAGTATTGATGGTGCTGATATAAGCCCTCTTAAATGCCACTATCGCCCCCTGCTGGATGCCCGGCAGAAACGATTTTTATACAGCGCCTCCCAAGATGAAAATCATGAGGTGCTTCACAAGATGACAGTGGCGGTTTTACCATTAGCCATAGGTCGGCGGCCGCCTGTCGCCCTCGCACTCCTCTGTTAATCCCACAATGGACTATTCCATTGAGGCCGATGCACAAACAGGAAGTGATTGAGTCATTCCACTCCAATCCAGTTGGTGGCAGTAATGCACCAAATTGTTGTTTGCCAGTGCCATAAGACCACAAACAAGAAGAAGAAGATGATGAAGGAGAAGAAGAGAGGCAGGACCGTTCGTAACAAACTCAAAGCAATAGTCAAAACATTAAGCATGAAATGGAGTTATCCTAGTGCCTCCAACAAGAGAAAGAAGCAGCTTGCTTGATAAACACTTTTATCTTCACTTCCAAAAGTGACGTTGTTTTTCAACATAAACATCAAAAGGAACCAGAAAAGGAAAGACAATGGAAAATGTTTAAAGGGAGGAAAGCATAGACCAAACTGGAAAATAGGAAAAAAAGAAAGAAAGGCAAAAGCACAGGAGCACTGACAGGAAGAAGAAAGCATTCAAAGGGAGAGAAAGACATGAAAAAAGAGGAGGACTAATAAAAAGTGAAAATAACTCATGTCAGAAGAGGGTAGAGTTTCGCAAATCCAGTTAAAGATAAGATTGTCGAAAATTTAGTGTAAGGGGCCCCATGTCTGTGTTTGCCTTGGGCCCCCAAATTGCTAAATCTGCCACTGCAAGATGATCAACTTTGTTGTCGTTTCATCTGATCTGCGGCAGCAATTCTTGGACACTGGAGTGTATAAAGGGGCAGAGCTGTCAACTGACCAGTGGTGAGTTGGTTCCGATGGTGGGGAGGATGCCGGTCAAACCTGGCAGGCCCAAACATTTTATGAGGGTCTTCTGGTAAGGTCTCCTGTCAGAAGGGGCGTCAAATCCCACCTCCGACAGAACTTCCAAAACGTTCCGTGGGAGGACGGCTGACCAGAGCTGTGGCTGCAGGGTCATCGGTGCCTGTCGTGGCAGCAACCCCGAACCAGCTGGTGGTTAGGGATGCTGTCAAGCTGAAGAAAGAGTCTTATCAATGTCAAAAAATTTCCCTCTGGGATTAATAAAATATTTTTGAATTGAATTGAATTATCAAATAGTTTTGGCCTGTGGGACTCCAGAGGCAACTGATGGGTTCCGTCAGGCCAAGCGGAATGGTCTTGGTCTTTGGTCTTTAGCCTGGTGCTGCACAACCAGTAGGCTTGGGTCACTGGACCTCAGCTACTTGCTAGGAGTGTAGGGACTGAGAAGATCACCAATGTATGACGGTGCTTGTCCATGTAAGGCCCTGTAGACCAGAACCAGGATCTTGAAATGAACTCTGAAGTTGACTGGCAACCAGTTAAGCTGGAGGAGAAGCGGGGTGATGTGGGTGTATTTGGAGGACTTGGTCAGAAGCCGAGCACAGGCATTCTGAACCACCTGTAGACGGTTCAGGGAGGTTCTGCTCAGACACGTGAAAAGAGAGTTACAGTAGTCCAAGCGTGAGGAGATGAAGGTGTGGAGAATTGTCTCAAGTTCAGAGCGAGACAGAATGGGACTCAGCTTAGCAACGTTTCTGAGATGGAAGAAGGAAGAGCGAAGAGAACTGACATGAGAATCCAGGGTGAGAGCTGGGTCAAAGGTCACACCAAGATTCCCGACGGAAGGTTTGGTGTGGGAAGCAAGCTGACCAAGAGAGTCTCTGACTTTGGGAACCAGCTTGTCTGGGGCACAGATGAGGATCTCAGTCTTACCTTCATTCAGCTGAAGAACGTTCCCACCATCCAGGTTTTATTAGAGTCTAAGCAGGTGTGGAACATCTGCAGCTTAGACATCTCATGGGGCTTAAAGGAGATGTACAGTTGGATGTCATCTGCATAAAGATGGTAGGAGATTCCTTTAAAGGAACTCAACATGTGCTGTAGAGAGAGCAGATAGAGGAGGAAGAGTAGAGACCCCAGCACAAAACCTTGTTGGACACCATGGGAGAAGGAGAGGGAGGATACTTGGAGAAGGAATGCTCAGACAGATAAGAGAAGAACCACTCAAGAGCTTCTCTGATCAAAAATCAAAATAAAACTCTGCTTTCTCAAATAAGTATATTATGTACATGTTGGTAATAAATGTATGCAACACAGATACAAATTATTACTTATTATTATTATAAATAATTATTACACAGCCAGATAACCTCTCATACTCAGGCTTTTTAATTGTTTCCAGATTTGACCATCCTACAGAAGATACAGGACTGCCAACATCCTCATCCAGAATTTTTTTTCCTATTTCTGTCATTAACTTTCCAGAATGTACTCCATTATGGATTTTTATGGCATTCTAAAATGTATACAATAGAATAAAATGATGCAAATATATGCCAAGTAATACTTTCTTTTAACAATCCTAAAAAGCTGTCATAATCTGATTTGACCCTCCCACTATCTTTATGGGTGACCCTGTGAGGAAAGTTGACCATTGAGCAGGATTGATGGTATATCCCTTGAGGTCCACGTGGCACGGGTGAGGTGGTGCTCACTCCCCAACCCTGCCACATGGACCCAAGGGATAAACCATCAACCCAGCTCAATGGTCAACTTTCCTCATGAGGTCACACCCATTAGGACAGTGGGAGGGTTAAATGTTTACACCATTTGGAGTTATGAGGGTTACTTTACAGAAAGTTTGTTGATTTGTTGTTATTGAGAAATATTTATGATTATGTAATTTTCCTAATTAATGCACCAAATAGAGCAGTGCTAATATAGGCTTTAATAAAAACACGTTTTCACTTGTACCTTTGGGTTTAATGTTGCTTCAGTTGCAAAAGTAATGTAACCTGCTTAGAGACAAATTAAAAAAACTATTGTATGCTGTTCTGTTAAGTTATCCAATACATGACTAGATTTGTATTTCTTGGTCCATTTGCTTTTCTTTTATTTTATTTTATTTTTTGAGATGCATGTGTAGCTAAAGACAAAAGACCCTAGGAAGATCAGGGACAACCGTTTTTCCCTAAATAAACCAAAAGCATCGCATTTGATCTCCTATCTGGAATAAAATTCGTTTGGAGCTGTGACAAGCACTCTGCGTGCAGTGCGTGCGAGCGCACGTTACGAGTCGCGCGGATAGCTCGAGTTCTGGACGCGTGAACGCGCCGTGGCGGTGACAGACGCCATTTTATTTTGAAAACCAAACTGAAGTGGAGGCCCAGCAACTCTTCCATTTCATCAAGTTTGTTGCGGGATACTAGAAGGAATGAGGATCTGAAATACTTTGTTGTTGGCATGGTGAGATTAGAAGTGTATTTTAATCAAATGACCACCGACAAGTATAGAATAGCCAGCGACACAAACGCGGAGTATTCGTTAGCCACTAGCGCTAAGGGACGGGAGGGGTTGTCTAATTGCTGAGAAACAGCTGTGATATTGTTAATCCAAAAAGTAGTATTTCTCCATTTACCAACCTTTACTATGCGATGCAGGCCATTTTACAGAGATGAGATGTCTAAATAGAAGCTGAATGTAGTACTAAATATGTTAAGATTAAGGTTAAATATTTGTTTCGAGTCAATCAGCGTTTGTAACTATGTTAGCAAGTCCACAGAGTAGTCGGAGCCCACTGAAACAAGCTAACGAGGTTGACGCTAAAGCTCGCGACTCAGGACGTATGAAAAAAAAACACTTCGTAGCGTTTACGCTCACAACAGAAATTGCCTAAACGAATCAACAGTACTCGTTTGCATAGTCAATTGCATCTTGACATGTGTAAAGATTTTCTTGATTGGGTTTCCTGTCTCGTGTTCACCCATTCGAAACAGGCTCGCGCTGCTAATTGATTAGCATTAGCTTGTAGCCTTGAATTAAAGAAATACAAGTGACTGCAGTCATGTTGTAATGGTCCGTGAGATGAAAGTATAAAGTAAAGTAATCGCATGTTTTTACAAGGCATTAGTTTTGAATGTCTAGTTACCGAATTGTCGATAAAAGGTGCTGTTAGTAGCGTTTCTCAGAGTCATGCTGTTGTAAAACGGCTAAAATCATCTTATTGGCCTTTGAACTAATCTCTCTGGAACGTGAATGATTTTTCAAATGTCAAAACGTAGTCACATATAATCAACATATTTGGCCTTTTAAGATTACACCTAAACTCTTTGATATTTGCGATAGTTTAACATAAGAACCGATGACTTGTGTTGTCTTGTTTGTTAAATACTTTAACATTAGTCAGTTCTGTTATTAGAAGCCATTGTTGTCACAGTTTGTTGTTCTGAGCTAATCAGGCTTTAACAGTCCGACCGATATTGGTGTACAGTTAGGCCGTGTTCAAAGTTGTTCCACCTCGATAACTTCACATTGCATTAAGGAAAATCCAACGAATTAACATTTTGAGGGCAGTAAATTAGATTTGTCTTTTTGGGTTTTTCTACCAGGCCTCACAGACTGTCCCAGTAATGCGAGTTAATATCAATTATTGGCCAAAAGTTTTTCACTTTCATGTGTTTCACACGTTTTAATATATTATCTTATTTTTTTATTTTTTGCAGATGCTGAACTTGATTTTAAACTGAAGGACTTGTCTACTAGCACTGGGTTCCACTGAACTGAACACACGTTTGGAAGGCCAACACTTGTCACACCTTTGGGGGGGGGGGGAGCAAAAGTAACCTATCACTGAAGTGACTAAAGGGGAATAATGGTGATTTTGCGCCGTGCTCGGCCGCCTGCTTCCGCCCCAACCAGCAATGAATCTTGACTCGCTCTCGCTGGCTTTGTCTCAAATCAGCTATCTGGTGGACAATTTAACAAAGAAAAACTACCGAGCCAGCCAGCAAGAAATACAACATGTAAGTAGGAGCAACATAAAATTTATTAATTTATTTTTGTTGTTGCAGGAAAAAACTTGTTTCACTTAAAGTTAAAATGGCTGTTTGTTTTTGTTTTAGCCCTAGGCTAATTACCTCTGTAGGTTATATTTGGTTGATGAAAAAGAGCATCCTTGTGAAATTTTATCTTAATGGAGCTCTTTGATGACGGTAAACTGAGATTTTGCTGGTATCAGTTCTACGATGTTCACATTTTCTAAATACAAGATGAAATTCTCAATCATATATTGAGGTCTCCTGTCCCGCGTAGACCTCCAGACAGCTCTTCCCCGAGCTTTTCTCCATTAGAGCTGGAAATCAGATCAGACACTGCACAGGGACTGTGACAGATTCCTTTAGCAGCAGATTTTAAATAAACTTAATGATTGCAGCTTTGAGCAAGTTATGCCCAAGATAAACAGAAGTCCACTGTAGCGCAGGGACTGCCCCATACCCCCTTTATGCCGCCGTCGCCTAATCTTTTATAAAAGGACATGATTGTGCCACTTTACCGCCACGGTCTGACCGCTTATAAAGGACCTTAGGCTACCTGATGCTGCCACAGCGCTGCGGCAAATTGACTGCATTGTTTTGATAAAACGGCTATAGTTGAACAGCATTTGAACAAACTCAGAGGATCTAAAAGAACAGACTTTAGAGTCACTGGACTAAAAAAGGGGTCGTGTTAGATAAGTGATAAAACCCTGGTTTAGTGAAATGGGCCATCAGGATTAGACAAATAACACTACAAAGCAATAAAAATGCAAGTCAAAATGCTGAATTTTTATGTATGAATAGCCTGTCATGGAATAGAAACCCATAACTCCCATTGATGAGACGTGGAGATTTCAATCTCGTTGTCCTCTGAAACCTAAGTGCTCGCATATCGGCATTCTGAGTTCATTGCGTCATTTCTGGCTAACTTATCTTGGAAAAACGAGTTCCGAGGACAACTGGAATGCACCATAAGTCTCCGAGCAACGCCATGTTAACTTCTATGGGAGCCCATGAGGACAAAATGCATTTACTGATTTGTAGTGCCGCTCAATTAATAGAATTTTAATCGCAAGTACGATATGAGTTTTGAACGATTGTTAAAATAAAATTTGCTCTTCCTCTTGCGCTGCTCCGACTTGCAAATCAAGCTCTGCTACCACAATGTTGCTACTTAGTGACTTTTTCTCTATTTCTTACAGCTTTTCAGAGCCCCTTCTTAAATTTTTAATTCAAAAATTACCTGGCAAACAACCTAGAAACATTTCTGGTAACCCTTATCTAACTATTGTCGATATTTCTTAGAATTTTCATAGAAATATGTTTCTCAAGTTGATAAATAATAATAATTCATCTCTCTGAGCGATGTGTTCATACTGTAGTCTCCCTGCAGCACCGCTGGAGAGGACTAAATAATTATTATGCAACATTTTGTGAACTTCAGAAAAACATGTTTTTATTTATTTCATATTATTAATGTACTGTATAATTCTTGCTGTCGGTATTTGCGAGATAATGGTTAGGTATTTGGGTCTGTACTGGGTATGCTTACATAAGTTAAACCTTAGCCTAAACCCTTTCGGTCAAAAACCATGAGCATGTGTATTGGCCTTTCTATACTAGGAATCGGGAGTTGTTTTTGTGATTATCTTGTTTCTTTCTTTCTTTTTTTGTCCTGATTGTGCCCTGTGCATGTTTATGACCAGATAAATAAACACATACATAAAATTAAGGCTGCACGATATTAGGAAAACCTGCGATATCGATATTACTCGCAATAAATGAACAAATACTTAAGTGTGCAGTGTTGATGTCGTCTGGCGTGTGACGTCTGCTCTGGGTTCAAAGCAAACAAGAACTAATGCATGAATTCCATTGCAACATAACATTTTTGTTGCAAAAATATGCAGCTGCACCTGCTACTGTATTAGCAGCTGCACCTGCTACTGTATTAGCAGCTGCACCTGCTACTGTATTAGCAGCTGCACCTGCTACTGTATTAAGCCTGGTTTATGCTTCTCCGTCAGCTCCGCAAGGGACAGACACGCACGGATTGACGGAAGCGTTTTGCTCTTTTACTTCTCCGTCTCCTGGAGAGCGTTGCAAAGCAATTGCCCTGCAGGACAACAGAGGGCATAGTGCTGTTCTTTGGTATCCTGTCATGTATCGGTCCAAGATCGTGTGTTTATTTTGTGTTTTTTTGTGTATATAAGAGACTTTTAACACGGACATATTTGTCTCTCATTCTCCCACCGCTTCATGCGCTCCCCACCTCTAAACCCACGTTTCCTGTTATTTCCGTCCACAAATAAAACGCTTGCTGCGCATCTTTTCACTCCTCCAGTCACAGGAGAATTAAACGTTCATGTTTTTAGAGTTTTTTCGCGAGGTATTCTTCAAGCTTCTCCGTGTCTGCCGCTAGTTAAACTCGGCTCTCTTTGCAATGGCGGCGCTGTAAACAACAGCAGCGTCCTGACCAATCACAAGCTTGCGTAATCCGTCTCGTTCGACGGATGTTTAAAAAAGTGGGCTCGACTCCGTACGTACTTGCGTGCCCTACGCAAGGACGGATAATGGCGTTGCGTGTCTCCGCACTGACGCAGACGGAGAAGCATAAATCAGGCTTTAGCAGCAAAACAACAAACTGCATGCATGCAGTTTCTCAGTGACTTTAAAACATCACCTCCACCATAAAACTTTTTCTGACGCTCCAAACACAGAATAACATCCCTTACCAGGGTTTTTTGAATAAATAAAAAAATCAGAAAATAAGTTTAAATGTTAAATAATAGTTAACATCACTTAAATGCAACAGCAAATTCTCTCATTGCTTCTGCGCATTTTCTCCACTTATGTGGTTATGATATAAGGCTGTTGCTGCAATTGGGAAGTGAACTGTGCTGGGCCAAACTAGGAGAATATTAAGATTTTCTGAGGGAAAGAGAAAACCAAATGTCTACCTTTCAGAAGAGGAACTGGCAAAAAAACTACATGGAAAATATGTGAAAACGTTTGGTTTTAACTCCAAATTGAGCATGTTTACCTAGATCTTAAAAAGCAGCTCAGATGATGAAACTGCAACTATGATTCTGATAACAAGCTAACAAATTAAACTAGCTCCTCTTAAGATAACCAGCTAGCAGAGCTTCTGACTGACAGTTTATGTGCAGCAGCAAATCAACTATCCTGACTAACAAGGTTATAAAAGCTCATAAAGGAAAAATCACTTTGATGTGTGGGGGAACTTTTCCAGGCCCTCTTTAGCAGGGTGGGACTGGGAGGAGAGTGCTGTAGCCACTCCGGTTAGCTGGAAGCTAACCGGAGCCTGGGGCTAACATCACCACCCGGTGGAACACTAGCGACATGGAGGTAGGTGGGTTGGTTCACGGGCACGTGTCGGGAGTCAGCCCGGTTATTATCAGCTGCTGAACGACACCGAGCGGACTCACGTTCACGTTTGAAAGCAGCGCTGATTCCAGAAACCTCAGCACAAAGTGCATTCGTTAATCTGAGCCAGCATGACGAACAAGGGAACGGCGCCGCTAACTCAGTTTGGTTGTTGCGTTCCACCCATCCTAAGGGTCTACGTGGGGGGCGGGCGTATTACGTGAACGGACCCATCTGATTGGCCGCATATCAGAAGGGCTACATTTGATTGGTCAAATAATACTTCTGCGTAAAAAACAGAGCTGGTTTACAAAAAGTTGATGTATGACACGGATGGAAATGTTTGAATCAAACATTTATCACCGTTTTTGACGTACTTTGCGATGGGCCTATCGCACGTCCTGTTATCGCGATGACAATAATTTTTCGATATATTGTGCAGCCCTACATAAAATCAACATTAATTAAAAAATTGTCTTAAAAATCGAGATCTCAGTTTCAGTCAAAATAATCATGATTAACATTTTTGCCATAATCAAGAAGCCCTAATGTTCTGTAACAAATTGTTACAATACTTTCGCCATTCATAAACGTTGTTTTACATATTTACCTCTTCGCTTGTTTCCATCATCGACCTATAAAATTATGGACGTAGCCCATCCTTGCTCTGTCGGGGGAGGAAGTTGAAGCCAAAAATGGGAGGTTCCCACCAATGATTTTTTTTAACCGAGTCACGCTCAGACAATCCAAAAATGGGAAGAGGTCGAGCTGAGGGTGGGGTTGTTACGTTAGGAACAGGGTTGGAACAAATTAAACAACTCTAGCTAACTTAGCTAACCCAAGAAGTTAAGAAGGGGACAGCGGGGCAGCCCACCCGCACAGCCGACCAGCTTCAGTGTGAGGCTGTATTCTTGCTGGTTGCCTGTGGAGTTCTAATATGGACTGGGACTGTTACATTACAAGCAGAGCCAGACCGCTGCGACTGGGAGCCCTAGCCTTTCAGATCAGTTCATTCTCCACGGTCGGAGATCAGCGGGACTTTAGCTACATGCTAACCAGAAGCTAAACACGTGGTAGAACGACTCCAACGTGAAGTCACCTCCGGCCTTCTTAGTAACAAAATCATAACAAGGTAAGCTGACAGAGAATATTGGGCTTCGCTGGTCCTCCCTGGTCAAAAATCTGCGAGTCCGCCGTTGTCAACACACGCGGCTCTGGTACTCGGCTCACGGTTTCGTGTTCCGCTCTCAACCAGAGACGAGAACAGCTGATCTTTCACCGCAGTGGACCAGCAAAGCCCGATCCTCGGTCTGATATCCAGCAGCCACACCAACACATTATATTTCAACTGATTTCAACCCCTTTTAGACCAAGCAGTGTTATGGTAAACACATTGAATTTTCCCCCATTCAACCAAGTCAAGTTTATTAAATAGCCCATTTCATACACAAAACGGTAGCCCAATGTGCTTCACATAGTTAAAACAATCACAAGTTAAATTTAATTGTTAAAATGTCACATCATGTTGTGTAAAATAAAAGCACCAGCAAACTATTAGAGATAAAAAAATGCGGGTGAGCGACTCAAAAGTAAAGCAGCATCAACTACAAAAGCTGCAGTGTTTCTGTGATCTCCCTCAGAAATCCACAAATGACCAGCATGACTACAGCCTGTCATCGGAGCTTTTCGTGTGTCGGCGGCCCCGGGGAAACGGGAACAGCCAGCCGCCTGCTCTAGCAACTCGTCTCGGGCAGGAGACAGAAAATGGGCATCCGCTTGTTTCTTACCCCGGGTTTCCACGGGAGCCGTCAGCAGCACGTTACTGCAGCAGATCTTGCTCGCGTAAGCTGCTGCTTGGCCCTTCCCACGAGACGCGAAGCAGCAGGGGAGCAGCTGTCACCGACCGAGCACGAAGTTACACGAGTGACTTCGTTAGTAAACACAACAACAAGCAGGAGAAAACTACAACATGGTTTGTGTTTTATGTTCTGTCCGTTTTATAATCGCCAATACGGACCTGAAAAACAAAGGAGACCGCTAGCTAGGTGATAACTTCTCACGGGGCCGCACAGTTAGTAACGGTTTTTAAAAGTAAAGCAACCGGAAGGCAGTACGTTCTTTATTCTGAAAATCTCGGGAGCTTCTCCCCATTTCCGCGTTCGATTTCCTGTCTTTCCTTCCCCAAAAATGTCGAACTTGACCCGTTTCAGAGGCGTCGCGCGTAGAAAATAGAACCGGCGCGTAAAGGCCGCGACATGCTGCTCCTGAGACGCGGCCGACTCGCGCTGCTGACGGCTGCCGACGGCTCTAGTGGAAAAGGTTCTGTTGACCACAGCGGTTCCTATGAGCAGCTATGACGTGCTGCTGCAGTAACGTGCTGCTGACGGCTCCCGTGGAAAGCCGGGGTTATCCAGCAGCAGCCCCACTAACATGTTTGACCAAGTAGTTAATGACGCAGCATTTCCCCCCATTCAACCAGCTAATTAAAGTACAGAAATATAAATTTACTTACTGATAAAATGAAACAGAAACTGCTTGGATGACCTGTTAGTGCAGTCAACAACCACAGCTTGCCCTTTATGTCCAAATAATTCCATGATTAACATCCAAACTGAAATATTAAACACAGCATTTGCTTTTCTGTCTAAAAGGTCCCAAATGGTTCATGTCATCTGATTCTTCAAATTTATTTTGATATGTTTGAGATCATCTCTCCAGGTTTTTTTTTTTTGTTGTAATCCCATGACTGTTGGTGGCTAACGCCCACGATAGGTTTAAGAATCCTTATCAACAGTTTGATTCATCCGTCTTTAATTAACTGGGAATTGGTTGGGCAAAGGGCAAAACAAATGTTTCTGTTGTACTTCTTCCAAAATTACTCCTAGACTGAGGTCTATATAAACTGACATTCAAGACACAAGTGGACCCACTGTTTTGACCAGTTAACCATATTTCTGATTTTAGACCGTGGAGAGGCCTTTTAAAGGTTTGTAGTTTGAATGATCTTACCATACTACTTAGAGTGCTTTTAACACGCCATTACAGCTGACCAAATTAATTAATAAAACAATTCAAGTTTATTTGTATAGCGCCAAACCACGACAAGAGTCGTTTCAAGGTACTTAACATAGTAAACATTCCAATACAGGTCAGTTTATTAAGCCAATCAGAAAACAGTTTCCTATATAAGGAACCTAGCAGGTTGCATCAAGTCACTGACTGAAATAGGCAGAAATATTCACATAGATCATAAAAACAGTTGGAAAAAGCAAGGCAGTGAAGCCAAACAAACAAATTGAAGCCACATTTTACTAATCCACAGTTTTAAAACTGAACATCCCATGTTGGAAGGAGGATTACAAAGTCTTGTCTACATTTTGTGCCTTTCCAGATTGTAAATCGTCACGGTCCTGAGGCAGACAGGCATCTACTACGCTGTCTCTTTTCCCATGTGGATTTCAGTGGCGATGGTAAAAGCAGTGGCAAGGACTTTCACCCGGTAATTTTTGATCGTAAATGTTTGATGGATGTTTCTAATTATACATTCATTGCTTTATCCACTCTGAGAACAGACCTCTTTTAGTATGATAATACTTATTAAGTTCCAGCTTCATCTGTTTGTGCTCTTTCTTTTTCTCTTTTTGTTTTTTTGCAAGACACAGTTTCTGATCCAGGAGTGTGTTTCGCTTATATCAAAGCCAAACTTTATTGCTACCCTGTGCTACGCCATTGACAATCCCCTTCACTATCAAAAGGTAAGATGTTGTTGATAGAACATTGGAATGTTTGCAGATTGAACATCAAGTTTTACTTCATGCATGTGTGCACATCAGTGAAATGAAATAATCTTTCTTTTTGTCCACCCCACCCCCACCCCCGGCTTATTAAAGTGTTCAACAGTTCTGTCTCGATAATGGTGTACCCGTCTCTATGCAGAGCCCTGCGTGCTTTAGGGGTAAATAAAGGGGATTAACTTTTAGCTTCACAAAGACATTTTTCTTATATTGTCTTCCAGAGTTTGAAGCCATCTGCCCACCTCTTCACTCAACTGAGTAAAGTCCTTAAGCTCAGCAAGGTCCAAGAGGTAAGTCGGCTCTGCGCTGAGATTTTATCATTAACCAAATTAAGCAAGCGGTTCCAAATTATGTAATGGACTGAAAATTTGTGGTTTTTTGCCTATACAATAGTGAAAATAGTAGTTTTATTTATTTCTTGTTTTCCTAATTTGTTTCATTTTCTAGGTAATATTTGGCCTTGCTTTGCTTAACTCCAGCAACACAGACCTTCGTGGTTTTGGTAAGTTGCCTTGTAGAGGCTGACACATTTTAAAGACGCTGCAAAAAAACAAGTTTCCACTTGTTGTAAATGGGACTTTAGTTAAGAGGAGTTTGTTTTGCAGCTGCACAGTTCATCAAGCAGAAACTTCCAGACCTACTGCGCTCATACGTTGACGCAGACCTTGGAGGAAACCAAGAAGGTGGCTTCCAAGACATTGCAATAGAAGTGTTGCACCTGCTGCTCTCCCATCTACTGTTTGGACAGAAGGGAGCCAGTGGGGTGGGACAGGAGCAGATTGACGCTTTCTTAAAGACACTTTGCCGAGGTATGATGGGTTTAATCAGGTGGAGCTGAGTCAAACTGAGCTTGCGTGGTATTGAAATGATAAAAATCACTCCTGGATGTCTAATCTGTACCACACCTCTGTGTTTGCTGGACTCTAGATTTTCCCCAGGAGCGCTGCCCTGTGGTGCTCGCACCACTGTTGTACCCTGAAAAACGGGACATTCTCATGGACAGGATTCTACCAGACTCAGGAGAGTTAGCTAAGACCATGATGGAGAGTTCTCTTGCAGACTTTATTCAAGAAGTTGGCTATGGCTTCTGTGCTAGGTGAGTTTAAAAACTCTTCTTGTTATTTTTTTTTATTTGTCTGCAGTAATAAATATTTACAGTTAATTGTAGGACAAAAATATTTGATGGTTTTAGTGTTTGATTGTGAGTGCATTCATATCAGCACAGCTAAACCACTACCAGCTCTCAGAATAAAACCACTACCAGCTCTCAGAATATGGATTTTGAAATGCTGATTTATTGTAACTGAAAATGTAGAGTTTTCATAACTAGATGGTTTAAATGTCTGACTTTAGTTGTATTAAAACTAGGGGTGGTACTTTAACACATTAATTATGATTAATTAATTGGGGGGGGGGATTACTCGTTAAAAAAATTCACGCATTTAATCTAGGGATGCAACGATAACACTTTTTTCCAAACCGATACGATACCGATAGTTGGATCTGAGTACTCGCCGATACCGATTACCAATACTGATACTTCTACCACACACAAAAATGCAATGATTTGGAATAGATTTTATTTTCTTCTTTGCTTTCAACAGGAAAAGACTGTGAGGTAGATAAAAAGTAAAATATATGAATGGAAATCATCACAAAACTAAAATATTAGGTGAACAGAAATGACAAGTTACAGTGAAGCCATTTTCAAGCAACTGCATTGGTATCGGTTAACTTTTACCGATACCAATACTGTTATTGGTATCGGTACCGATACCAGTATCGTATCGGTGCATCCCTAATTTAATCAGAGCTTGCATTTCAAGCAAGGTAAAACCTTTGTCATTGCGTGATTTCCTGGTAGAGCGAGTGTCACTGATGCACACAACAACGCACAGAGCTCTGCTAACCCCAAAATTCCACTACCTCCGCCCCTGCCTTCCGCAGCCGCTCGCTTCCGAACTCAATTTTTACTGGTATCCGCTCCGGTGCGGAGACCTAAGGTGCGCAAACAGGCATGCGCAGGATTTTCGAGATCTTGCGATACAGTCCGATCAATAAACGCGGAAGTTAGATCCAAACACCCGTTGTGTGGGAGAAGCATCGAAATGAACTGTTTAATCTGCCCATCATTTGTGTAGAGAGATCAGCAGAGTTTGGATCAACAAAGGGTGACTACTTTGATAGAAGAAACTGTATTTATGGCTTATTTTTGTGCATTTAAAGTTCAACCGCCATTGATAGTTGTTAAAAGTTGTTAAACCTGTGCATATGAAACAAAAAACGCTTTTTGTTTATCGATTTATTGTGAAATAACGGAAGTTGTGCTTGCTCCCTTTCCTGTTGGGCGGTTGTGATTTTTGTCCATTGACTGCGGAGGTGCTCCGGCGTCCGGCAAAAATAGAATCGATCCTATTTTTGCCGAATGGCGGGCGGCGCACTGCGCTGCACGGCCGCAGTAGTGCATCAGCTCTGATTGACTACAACGGGACCGATTTTGCTGCGGAGTTCGTGTCGGAGCGAAGCGGAGATAGTGGAATTTTGGAGTAACAGCTACTAAAATGGAATTATTGAAGAAATTGGCTTGCTTGGACTGCTGCAGTATTTGGAAAAACGTTTCGGCCTCTCTTTTTCTACTTCTTTTATATTCCCGCTACGTCTGTCACTATTAGCAGTGTTTTTAACATCCTTTCTACACCCACCATGTCCTGAACACGGTGAAATAAGCTTTGGAGCATGTGTGATTCACATTAAACACACAGACTCTGTTGCTGCGCAGCTGCAGCATCCCTAATGTAAATCTTTGCCAGTCGTGTAAAAAGAGCAGTAAATAGTTTATTATTGACCTGCTGGTTAGGACCCCAAAGCATAATACATAACTTTGTCTGGCTACTAAAGTTTTCAGAAGTAACTGGAGATCCAAAGCGCAGTTTAAAAAATATTTTGTATATCATAAAGCACACGTGTTTGTGTTAAATACGATGGAATGTGGTTGTGTGTTTCTGCAGTCTGGATGAATGCAGAAACATAATCCTCCAGTATGGTGTGAGAGAGGTGACAGCCAGCCAGGTAGCCAGGGTCCTAGGAATGATGGCGCGAACCCACTCTGGGCTATCTGATGGCATTCCGCTTCAGGTAAGGCTAAGCTGGAACTAAAGTCCGGTATCTACATTTTATCAACATAATGTTATTGCATCACCTGTTTACGTCGCTTTACCCTAAACTACAAGCTACAAACACAACAGACTATGTCTGGTCTTAGATTTACTCTACTATGCAACTCGATGTTTTTTCACTACTTTCTTGCTTCTGTTTTTTTAATGTGAAGTACAAAGTAACTTCCTGCTTGTGACTATTGTTTATAATCATTCTCCTGAATTTCTGACTATTACATCTCTCTGTTACTCCTGTAGACTCCATGATTATGTTAACAATGGGCTTACATGCACAGTTTAGTTCAGAAAAACAAGCTTTTATTTATATGATTTTCAACATTTTTATATAGTCAGTCTTAATTTTATTAACAACCTCAGTTGTACTCTGCATCCTACCGAAGATCTTCGGACCTGCGCCTTACCGGCTCCCACAAGATCCCAGTTCCTGTTCAGGTCTCCAGTAACGAGCTATATTAATTAAAGCCTTGTAAAGGTCCTATGAGGGTTTCTTTTTCAGGTTATCCGCGGGTCCTTAAAAAGTCTTAAATTTGCTTTTTCAAATTTAAGGCCTTAAAAATCCTTAAAAATGACAAATAATCCTTAAATACAGTTTCCAAAGGTCTTAAATGACCAAAGACCCAATAAACAAGGTATTTTTATTTCTATAAAATTTTCGTGAATTTCTAGTTAGTGTTCAGCATTTTATGTGTATAATATTTGCATAAGCGGAACTGTACACATTTGGTTGGTTGTGAAAGGGGGCTATTTTTAGATGAGCACATTAGCTGGTTAAGCTAGTGGGAGCTTGTACCATGGGGAAGTGCAAGTTTAATGGTAACTGGATGGCTAATCTCACGTTCGCGACATGGTTAGCACCGGTTTCAGGCAATAGCTGGAAATTATAGCTTAAATTAAATTTAAATAAATTGCTTAAATTTGGTCAAAGTAGCCTTAAAAAAGGTCTTAAAAAGTCTTAAATTTAGCTGTCTTAAACATGCAGATACCCTGTTTTTGGAAAATAGAATTTAACCTTTAGCTCTTGTACTTTACTCTTTTCAGAAGACTGTTTTGTTGAGAGAGTTAAAAGGCCCAGCATTCTGGGGATGAGCACTCTTTGCAAGACAGGATTCTTTCAGTCATCCACTCATGTTAATGGGCTTCATATGTTTAGGGTATAAATACTGAGTTGTGTTTTATGCCACAGTCGATCTCCGCCCCAGGAAGTGGTATCTGGAGTGATGGCAAGGATAAGAACGACGGTTCTCAGGCACATACGTGGAACGTTGAGGTTCTCATTGATGTTGTCAAAGAAGTGGTAAGTGATGTGACGTTCTCTCAGTTAGCCTTGATGTTCGGTTCATGTTTCTCTCTGTTTGGGATTGGCTTCTGCACAGTCACCAGAGTTGGCCAAGAGTCTGGTAACAAGGTGCACCATTCCTGCTCCTGGCAGATGAAACAAACCGTCGTTTTTGTGTAATTAATGACGAGTAGTCTTTTTTTTTTAGTCTAGAACATGAGATCCATCATGCTTACCTTCACTTTAAATGGAGCAGGTTGGTTTTACTTTTGAAGGATTTGCTGCTTCGTATTAAAACTGATAGTAAAGTTTAGCATGAAGTAGCCACATCCTGAGGTTTCCTCAGCATTAAAACACAATAAAGCACTTTCTCTACTAAAGCTGTTAAATATATTTTCTAACTTTCAAATCATTTCAGAATCCCAGAAAATGATATTTCTGTTTTTGTAAATGAAATTTTGCTGCTTGGTTTTTCTTTGACCTTATTTCTGATTATCTGAAACATCTTGTTCCTGTGCAAAAAGAGATCAGCCTTCTGAGACTCCTATCTTTTCTGATATCTTAGAATCCCAACTTGAACTTCAAAGAGGTGACGTATGAACTGGACCACCCAGGCTTCATCATCCGAGACAGTAAAGGCCTGCACATAGTGGTGTATGGGATCCAGAGAGGGCTAGGCATGGAGGTGTTCCCTGTCGATCTCATCTATCGACCATGGAAACATGCGGAGGGACAGGTAAGTCTGTCAGATTCATATTGTGTCATTTTAAGTAGTTGGAACTGTTTGAAGACGTTGTAAACTCTTGTAAAAGTACTTTAGGAGTTTTTGTATTATTTTTGTAAACGGTGAACTTTCTTTTTTCAGCTGTCGTTCATTCAGCACTCCCTGATTAACCCAGATGGGTTCTGCTTCGCTGACTATCCTTGTCACACCGTGGCCATCGACATCCTCAAAGCACCTCCAGAAGATGACAACAGAGAGATCGCCACATGGTATGGAGGCTGTTGCTTGTCTGGGGCTGCTTCCGTGAGGTTTGATTAATTGAGCTGAAAGCAAATGTTTTTTATGTCTAGAGCTGAGGAAAATAATCAAATAATCGATGCATCGGGATGCGGACATAAACGATTCTGCGTCGTAGAAGAGTACGCCATAATCGATTATAGTGGAATGTAGTTTTGTTTTTTTAACGGCGGCACCAGCGCACCATCCAAATCTGTCAGAGTGAGCGTCCTCCACATTTACCAAGTGGTTCCGCCTTAATGTGGTACTGCAGGGCTGAGCGCTTGAGTTGTAACCGGAGACCGAACCGGAACCGAATCAGCCCGACCGGTTCTGTTGGATTTGGGCCGTGAATTATGTTAATTAAGTGGGTTGTCACGCTGCTCGCTCCGCTCGCTCGCACAGCAACTGAGAGAGAGAGAGAGAGAGAGACATTGTCTGCTCACACACGAGAGGATCGGAGGACGCTCCTCCAAACCGATGCTCCAAACACACATTATTATTTTCATAATTTAATTATTTCTCCTGGAAGCGCTCAGTCAGACAGAGTGTTGTGATGCCGAGAGATCCGGTCTTGGGGAGGGGGCGGGGTCAATGACGGCGGCTGCAGCGTGATTGCCTGTCTTTTATTTAGGGACACAGAGAAGTTAAAAGGAGAGAGAAATAGAAGTTCTTGTTCCACTTTATTCTTTTGTTCCACGATGATAAACTGATGTTAAATTCAGCTGAAAGAGAAACTGGGAGGAAGCTTTGGTTCATTTTAGGTTACAGGAGGTCTTGTCTCCTATCTGCTCCTCCAGAGACAGCATGGACATGAGGGTCACATGGTGAGGGTCACACAGGACAGGTTAGTGGAAAGGTTTGTAGTTAGCTGGTTAGTGAAGGCGATCCATCAGCTGGGTAATTTAATCCTAATCCAGCCCACAGCCTTCTGCTGGTGTTATTATCAGAAAGAATAAAACACACATCTTAAATATGATTGGAAGTGTAGAATTAGTTTTATGTTTTATTATTTTCTGCATCAAACAGAACTTGATTCATGCTCCAACATTTCAGAAACGAACCACTGGGTTCAAATAAAATAACAAACAAGTCAAACATTTCATTTGCTGTTATTTCTGACACCCTTCAACTGTGGAATAAACATCTGACTCTAGAGCTGCTCAGAGACATTAAACACTCCTATATGAACCCAGTATGTATTTTATTATTACATTGTGTGTCCTGTAGGTTTTCAGTACTTTTTTAGATTTTGTGTGTTTTTCTCAGCCTGAGGCGTGGTCTTCAACGAGGAAACAGATCGGTTTACTTTGTTAAATCTTAAGTGTTTAAAATGTTTTGTCCTAACCTGTTGTGAATGGAGAGCTTTTGAGGGATGGCAGGTTGTCAATTACGTTTTTGATAAAAAAAAAATAAAAAGCAATTTTCTGACATCTTCTATTTATCGCTGAAAACAAATCAATATGATATAATCGTGATGCTCCTGGATCTCGAATCGAATCGAATCGTTGACCCAATAATCGTAATTGAATTGGGAGACAGGTGAAGATTCACACCTCTATTGATGTCCTTACTGAGCGATCAATAAAAAATCTGAATTAGTGTGCCCTCTGCCTGGATCGTGCGGTAAATAACGTAAATGAAAACAAGCTACCACTTAAAAAAACGCTCCGATTCATTTCTTTAACTCCTCCAGGAAAAGTCTGGACCTGGTGGAGAGTCTTCTGCGCCTCTCTGAGGTTGGGCAGTATGAACAGGTGAAGCAGCTCTTCAGCTTCCCTATCAAGCACTGTCCAGACATGTTGGTGCTGGCCCTGCTGCAGATCTCCACCTCCTGGCACACGCTGCGCCATGAGCTCATCTCCACTCTGATGCCCATCTTTCTGGGCAACCACCCCAACTCTGCTATTATTTTGCACTATGCTTGGCACGGACAGGTTGGTGTTTTCTTCTTCTTCTTTTTGTGCCTTTGAGTGTAACGCACATACCCAGAGCCTCTGCCTTACTGAGACCTGTAACATTGTGCTCTACAGGGGCAGTCTCCTTCCATTCGTCAGCTAATCATGCATTCTATGGCCGAGTGGTACATGAGAGGAGAGCAGTATGACCAGGCCAAGCTGTCTCGCATCCTGGATGTGGCCCAGGATTTGAAGGTTTGTTGGAATTTTATGAGTGAGTGAGTGAGTGAGTGAGTGAGTGAGTGAGTGAATGAGTGAGATTTTTTTTCCTCAAATCTCCATGTTGGATTGGTTAAAGTAAATGTTGTAAAGCGACCTGTAACATGTCAGGTTTTAAAATTAACAAAATTAGCTAAATCTGTTTATGCTACCTGATTTTAATGGTAACAAATTAATGAATATTTGTAATTATGTTCTTTACCAGTCCCTCTCTATGCTGCTGAATGGTACTCCATTTGCCTTCGTTATTGACCTCGCTGCACTTGCCTCTCGCCGTGAATACCTCAAACTTGATAAATGGCTGACCGATAAAATCAGAGAGCATGGGGTGAGTCTCGGCGTTAAACTAGGACCAGTTATCACCAGATGTTTGGTTTTAATTCTATCACCATGAGAATGTTTCACATTTACTTGTTTCTGATGCCACTTTCACAGGAACCCTTTATCCAGGCGTGTGTGACATTCCTGAAGAGGCGCTGCCCATCCATTATGGGGGGTCTGGCCCCTGATAAGGATCAGCCCAAAAGTGCCCAGCTGCCCCCTGAGACTTTAACCACCATGCTCACCTGCCTGAAGTCCTGTGCTGGGTGAGAACCTGACATGTCTGACGCTCGTAGACCTTTCACTGCCAGGATGATTTCACGTCTGAGTTTGATCAACGTTTTGTGAAACTCATCACATGGTCTTAACTTTAGTATCAAATCCCACCGTAGCATTAGAAAAAAATACTCTAATGAAGAGGTTAAGGTGGAGTTTATTAACATTTGAGAGGAATTTGATGGATCTTATCCCTAAAGGAACAATTGCTGTTTAAACATTTCTGTTGAAATAAGGAGCTTTGACATCAAGCCTTTTAGTAAACACAATAACCTCTTTACTCAGTCAAATGGCCACAGAGCCAATGCTATATCCTAACTATAACCTTTTTAACTTGACTATATCTTATCAGCCTTTACTACATCTGTGCTGATGTTTGGTCTCAACAAGGCCTGCCTGCTGGTTTTCAAAGATTAGAGGTGAAGGTGGAAACGTTCAGACAGATTAGTTTATTAGGGGATTAAACTAATGAAGGAGTTCTGATCCTGTTGATGTGAAGAAACGTGCTTCCAGCTGCTTCTATTCACCACAGACAACTACTGGTCATACATCATAGCTCTGTCTGTGAGGATTTTAATACGGTGATTGATTACGTAATTCTCTTATTTGAAAACCCTTTTTTTTAAATCCACTATTTGAAATGTTTTCTAATGGGAACTCTTGCACAATAACCGTTTATGTCTACCTTTATAAAAATATTGTTCTCTGTGTGTAGGAGTGTTTCCCAGGAGTTGTCCGAGGCGATCCTTACCATGGCTGCCAACTGTAACAACGCCATGAACAAAGCTCGGCAGCCGCCACCGGGGGTTATGCCCAAAGGACGCGCCCCCAGCACCAGCAGCTTGGATGCCATCTCACCTGTGCAGGTGAACCAAATGATTCCTTGACATAGCTAATCTGTATTTTGAATCTGGAACATCTCTCTTGCTCTTGTTTAACCATTTTCTTCATGCTGTTCCTCAGATGGACCACCTGACTGCGATTGGTTCCTTGAGCCTGGCAGGAACAGCTACGTCCCACTCTCAGAGCATGCAGAGCTTCCAGCCTTCCATAAGTTCAACTCTCAATAACCCTCTGTCCCCTGCTAAAGCCTTCCCACCGCTCCCTAACCCTAATCCCAGCACGCAGTTTGGGGGAATCAGTTCCAGCTTGCAGCTCACAGGAATGGACTCTGGTACTATGATTTATTCCTTCCTTTTACACAAACGCGTCCATGCTAACCCTAGAAGTCTCAACTCCACTGACGCTGTTTAAGTAAACATGAGAAGAATTATTTGACATAACTTATAAGCTGACATAAATGTTAGATTGTTGGATGCATACAGTAATGAGGAACATTCACATCTGAGCAGGGTCACAGGTCATAGGCTAAGCTGGGGTAAACTGAAACCTTTTGTCTTCATTGCAGGTTCTTTGGGCTCAGGTATTAGTTCTAGCAGTGGCTTTAGTCTGGGAATGCCCACAGTGAGCACGGATCCATTCGGCACCAGGAAGATCGGCACATCGGCCTTGAACCCACAAACCTTTCAGCAGAGTAAGATGAAGGCCTGTAAGTGGTGGTGGTGGAGGTGTGACTGAGAGCCCCGCCCTGCGCCGCTCTGCACTGTATTTCCTCTACAATATTACTGAAGATTCCTACATTTAACTATTCGTGATTCACCATAAAAATTCAAACTCAACATACTTTAATTCAGTATCTGTGACAAAATTTTGTCCATTTCTATCAAACACTTGAAGAGGAAATACAGACCAGTCTGCTTATGCTGACGACCCCACTTCAGTGTGTTTATTCTGGTTTTCTGGCATCAAAAAGGTTTACAGGAGTTTCTGTTTAGACTGAAAATTCAACAGTTTAAGTGGCAGTTTCTTCCTTTTTATTAAAAATTAAACCATTTCAATTTTGTCAGTCTGATATTTCTAAAGGGTCTTTAATAAACTACATTAAATTAAAAATAGCATTTTCATGAAAATTATACAAAACCAAATCAGCTTGAGTGATGTCCATTATGAATGTTTATGTTCATCCGTTGTTGTGAGCACATCCTAAAACTGTGCCTTCTCTCCTCCAGCGGATCTCTCTCAGGTGTGGCCTGAGGCAAACCAGCACTTTAGCAAGGAGATAGACGACGAAGCAAACAGTTACTTCCAGCGGATCTACAACCACCCACCTCACCCAACTATGTCTGTAGATGAAGTAAGTTTGCTGCTGAGTTTAAGCCCGGTCTCAGGTGGACAAGATCTAAAATCCTCACGACTTCCCTGATGTTCAGGTGCTGGAGATGCTTCAGAGGTTCAAAGACTCAACCATCAAACGGGAGCGAGAAGTGTTCAACTGTATGCTTCGTAACTTGTTTGAGGAGTACAGGTTCTTCCCCCAGTACCCTGACAAGGAGCTGCACATCACCGCCTGCCTCTTTGGGGGCATCATTGAGAAGGGTCTGGTCACCTACATGGCTCTGGGCCTGGCTCTGCGATATGTTCTGGAAGCCTTACGGAAACCATATGGGTCAAAAATGTATTACTTTGGGATTGCTGCCCTTGATAGGTTCAAAAACAGGTAGTGAGAGCTTTCTTTAGTTAAATTAGCATTAATATGATTTATCCGGTCTTAAGCTGATGTGTTTGTTTTTCTAGACTTAAGGACTATCCTCAATATTGTCAACACCTGGCTTCAATAGCTCACTTCCTGCAATTCCCTCACCATTTACAGGAGGTAATCGAGTTTGCTTAATCCTTCGTCTGTTTAAAACATTATTTGGTGTGATTTTACAGAATGTGCCCCATTTATAAAGTTTTGTTTTTTTGGAATGTTTTGTGCGTGCAGTATATCGAGTATGGCCAACAGTCACGGGACCCTCCGGTGAAGATGCAGGGTTCCATCACCACACCAGGAAGCCTGGCGCTGGCGCAAGTTCAGGCCCAGGTCCAACAACCTACTGGCCTCAAACCGCCTCAGCTTGGACAGCCCAGCACCCTCGTCGTCACCACCACCACCACCACAACCACGGCAGCCAAGACGACAACTATCACAAGACCCACTCCCAGCAGCTTCAAGAAGGACATGCCTGTAGGCTTGACTTTGTGTTGGACTGAAACCTCCACTTGAGTTTTATTTCTGCTCGTAACGGTTTGTCTGCTGCTCATTTCCCACACTTGTAGCCCTCCATAAACACTACCAACATCGACACCCTGCTGGTGGCCACTGACCAAACAGAAAGGATTGTAGAACCTCCAGAGAACGTCCAGGAGAAGATTGCGTTCATCTTTAACAACCTGTCTCAGTCCAACATGACACAGAAGGTAAGGGAAAACATTATTGTATTAGACGAGTTTAAACACCAAAACCCTAAATAACCATTGATGTTTTCAAAGGTCGAGGAGCTGAAGGAGACTGTGAAAGAAGAGTTCATGCCATGGGTGTCTCAGTACCTGGTGATGAAGCGCGTCAGCATTGAGCCCAACTTCCACAGCCTCTACTCCAACTTTCTGGACACTTTGAAGAACCCAGAGTTTGTCAAGATGGTTCTCAATGAAACTTACAGAAACATTAAGGTAATGAACGAGAAACAAACTTTTAAGGCATCCTTTTATCTCATTTTGGTTTGTACTTTGTTTTTTTTTACTGTTTTAACAGACAGTTCTGTGAAAATGATGATGGTATGTATGTATAGGGCATCCAGGTATGAGCAGACATTTATAACGTGTGTCCCTGACAGGTGCTTCTGACGTCAGACAAGGCAGCTGCTAACTTCTCTGATCGCTCGTTGCTGAAGAACCTGGGTCACTGGTTGGGCATGATCACGCTGGCCAAAAACAAGCCGATCCTTTATACAGTGAGAATAGGCTTTAAGCTTGTTGGTCATCATGTAAAATGGTGTGTGTGTGTTTTTTGGGGGGGTCTATAATTATACTAAACACGTACTTCTCAGGATCTGGAGCTCAAATCCCTGCTCCTGGAGGCCTACGTGAAAGGCCAGCAGGAGCTGCTGTATGTTGTTCCGTTTGTGGCCAAAGTCTTGGAGTCCAGTCTACGTAGCATGGTGAGAAACCGACACCGGGTCCTGCTTGTAGGCTGAACACAGATGATTCATTCATTCCTACTAAAGACCACTGCAAATGTATTGATTTAACGAGTGTCCCGCACCTTTAACTTCCTGTTTGTGCTTCTGTGACGCTGCAGGTTTTCAGACCTCAGAATCCATGGACCATGGCCATCATGAATGTTCTAGCTGAGCTTCATCAGGAACACGACCTCAAGGTAACAGATTACCTTCTTTCACTTTCATGAGAAATCAAACTGATAAAGTTTTCAACTTCTGGAAGTTAATAAAAACCAAGAACTGAGCAAATAGAAGCCAGTTATTTTTTTCTTTTTTTTTCTTTTTGCTGCATTAAGAACTGAACATTTTTATTTTTGTCCAAATTTTATCCAGAATAAAGAAGCATCTGAAGTATTTGTGACATGTTCTGTTTTTTTTTTTCACTGTAGTTGAATTTAAAGTTTGAGATTGAAGTTCTGTGTAAGAACTTGTCTCTGGACATCAATGAGCTGAAGCCAGGAAACCTGCTGAAGGACAAAGACAAGCTGAAGAACCTGGAGGAGCAGCTGTCGGCGCCAAAGAAAGAAGCCAAGCCTCCGGAGGAGATGTTACCCGTCTCTACCGCAGGTGATTTCTCCATTTATTCACATGTTGTTTCTGCACGGAGCCATGCTTTAGAGCTCATCTTATATCTGCAGCAGCTCTTCCTCTGAAAACAAAGTTAACCTGTTCAGCTTTCATCTTTTATGTTGGAAATTGTTTCATGTCTACTTTTTACACCACAGTACATTTTTTGTCTGAATTGAATGCTTTTCTTTGTGATTTTAATGAAACGAGTGTTTTGTGATCAACAGGAGACTTTGTTCCATTTTCAGCTCCTCCCTCCACCCCGGCTGCTACCACCACCACCTGCACAACCACAGGCCCCCCCACACCACAGTTCAGTTATCATGACATCAACGTGTATTCCCTGGCAGGCCTGGGGCCGCACATCAATATAAACATCAACGTAAGATTAAAAGCCTGTAAACGCCGTTGGTTTCAGCAGATGAGCTCATAATTCCATAGATAATAAAGCAAAACAGATATTGTGTGTTTGGGAGAACTGATCAGAACAATTAAGTGACAAGATGCCGCATGAACAGTAGGGTACATCTCTGTTGGTGTTTGTGTGGTCTTTACTTTTTAAGACTCAGATTAAATCTGACCATTTCTGTCCTGCTCCCTTCCCGGCAGATCCCTCTGCTGCAGGCTCATCCTCAGCTCAAACAGTGCGTGCGGCAGTCAGTGGAGCGGGCGGTCCAGGAGCTGGTGCACCCTGTGGTGGATCGTTCCATCAAGATTGCCATGACAACTTGTGAGCAGATCATTAGAAAGGACTTTGCCCTGGACTCAGAGGAGTCCCGCATGCGTGTGGCTGCTCATCACATGATGAGAAACCTGACAGCTGGCATGGCCATGATCACCTGCCGGGAGCCCCTGCTCATGAGTATCGCCACCAATCTGAAGAACAGCTTTGCGGCTGCGCTGAGAGTGAGTTCAGCTCTTCTTACCACGTGTTTGTTAGTGGGTGAGCTTTCTTTCTGTGACCAGGCTGATGACTTTTATCTTTGACCTTCTCTCAGGCACCAACCCCGCAGCAGAGAGAGATGATGGAAGAGGCTGCTGCCAGGATCGCACAAGACAACTGTGAATTAGCTTGTTGCTTCATTCAGAAAACCGCCGTGGAGAAAGCTGGCCCTGAAATGGACAAGAGACTAGCCACGGTGAGCTGATACCCGGAGTGTGTGTGGACGTACATGTGGTTTATCAAGCTCTTTATTGTGCAAAACGTTTGTTTTAATAATAAATGTAAGTTTTTAAAGTCAGAGTGTGTTCTCTGCTCCAGGAGTTTGAACTGAGGAAGCATGCTCGCCAAGAGGGCCGTCGTTACTGTGATCCTGTTGTTCTGACTTATCAGGCTGAACGAATGCCTGAACAGATCAGGCTGAAGGTAAAACACGCGTGTGCCACGTCAGCAGCGCCTCTTCTGTTTGTTTCTGTTCATATCTGACTAAAGACTCAGTCAGCTGTCAAGGTGTTCTTTACCTGTTGAGTAACCGCTTACTGTTGCAGGTGGGAGGAGTGGATCCCAAGCAGCTGGCGGTTTATGAGGAATTTGCCAGGAATATTCCAGGTTTCCTACCAAGCAATGATCTCTCACAACCCACAGGCTTCTTGGCTCAGCCCATGAAGGTGAATTTATCTCCTGTGACCATCCCAAAGCAAAACGTAAGAACTAAAATGATGAAAGAAAGGAACGCTTTAAAGGTGTCTGCATGCTTAATAAGATTGTTTCTGTCCTTTGCACCAGACTTGACCGTAACCTCGTAGAGTAGCTGCATTGATACTAAAACATTCAACAATTAAATGAATATTTTGTGACTGAATTCTTGATTTTAACCCATAGTTTTGGTTGCGTGTTTGTTTTGCAGAACCAAGTGTGGGCCACAGACGACGTGGCTCAGATCTATGATAAATGCATCACCGACTTGGAGCAGCATCTTCATGCTATCCCTCCAGCACTGGCCATGAATCCTCTGACACAGGGTCTGCGTAGTTTACTGGAAGCTGTGGCTTTAGCCAGGAACTCCAGGGATGGGATCGCTGCTCTTGGCCTCCTGCAGAAGGTAGGACACTCAGACCGAAAATTACAGGGAAGCTTCTGGATGGAGGATGAACTCTTAAGCTGATTGTCAAGTTTCTCTGAATGTTTCAGGCTGTGGAAGGCCTCCTGGACGCTACGACAGGGGCTGATGCTGACTTGCTGCTTCACTACAGGGAGTGCCACCTGCTGGTGCTGAAGTCCCTGCAGGATGGGCGTGCATACGGACCACAGTGGTGCAATAAGCAGATCACCAGGTTAATATACTCGCATGTTGTATGGAGATGTTACTAACCCGATAACCCTCCACTCTTAGAGCTCCACATGGATTTGTTAAATCTAAATGACTTACTGAGTTTAAGTTTGTTTCTGTGTGGGAAGGTGTCTGATTGAATGTCGGGATGAGTACAAGTACAACGTGGAGGCAGTGGAGCTTCTGATCAGGAACCACCTAGTAAACATGCAGCAGTACGACGTGCACCTGGCACAGGTAGGCTGTGTGTGTCTGTCTGTCTTCTCTCACTCTCTCTCTCTCGCTCTCACTCTCTCTCTCACTCTCTCACTCACATACACACACACATATGGTGCTTTTGTGTGTTTCTTCCCAGTCGATGGAGAACGGGTTGCACTACATGGCCGTGGCTTTTGCCATGCAGCTTGTGAAGCAGCTGCTGGTGGATGAGCGCAGCGTGAGCCATGTGACCGAAGCTGACCTCTTCCAAACTATTGAGACCTTAATGAGGACCTGTGCACACTCCAGAGCCAACGCACCTGAAGGGTAAACATCTGGTTTGGTTGCTCTGTGAACATTTCTGCTCTCACCCGTTTTTAGCTGTTGGAAGTGAATGTTTTTGAAAGTGAAACCAACCAGATGATGGTTGTGGACGTTCCCGGTGTGAACGTCTCCTCAGAGTCGTCACTTATGAATGAGGAAAAAGACCTGATAAGAATCCAGGGTTTAACCCACACACTATCCTGTCTGGCATTTAAGATTAGTTAGTTTTTAAAACACCTTTAGGGTTTCTCTCATTGTTCCTTTTTATGTCCTTGTTACAAACCACAGTATGATGTGCTGATGTCTGGTGCTTTCACCGTGAGCTGTTTGATCGCATTTCAATAGATTCGGACTCTTGAATCGATCGTCCTGCTTCCTGGTGAAGGTACACGTTACCCCATTAACCCCCGCTGCTCCCCGTTCACAGGCTTCCCCAGCTGATGGATGTGGTTCGCTCCAACTATGAAGCCATGATAGATCGTGCTCATGGTGGCCCCAACTTCATGATGCACTCTGGGATTTCACAGGCTTCAGAATACGATGATCCACCGGGCCTGAGGGAGAAGGCAGAGTACCTTCTGAGAGAATGGGTCAACCTATATCACTCAGCTGCTGCTGGGAGGGACAGCACCAAGGCTTTCTCTGCTTTTGTTGGCCAGGTTAACTCATTTATTTCATAATTCACCCACAAATATTTACATGTCATCCGTATTAAACTTCCTTATGTTTGTTTTCTCCAGATGCATCAGCAGGGAATCTTAAAGACGGACGACCTGATCACACGCTTCTTCCGACTGTGCACAGAGATGTGCGTAGAGATCAGCTATCGTGCACAAGCTGAGCAGCAACACAACCCAGCTGCCAGTGCAGCCATCATCAGAGCCAAATGTTACCACAACCTGGACGCCTTCGTGAGGCTCATAGCGCTGCTCGTCAAACACTCTGGAGAAGCAACCAACACGGTCACCAAAATCAACCTCCTCAACAAGGCACTGAAACACTCATCCAACCCGACAGCATGTCAGCCCTCCGTTCAAAACTGTGACGTTAAAATCATGTTTGGTTTTATCCACCTGCTGTTCCAGGTGCTGGGTATCGTCGTCGGAGTGCTGATCCAGGACCACGATGTTCGGCAGACAGATTTCCAGCAGCTACCCTACCATCGCATTTTCATCATGCTACTGCTGGAGCTCAATGCTCCTGAACATGTGCTGGAAACCATCAACTTCCAGACACTCACTGCCTTCTGGTAGGACCGCACCTGACCCCTACACACACACACACACACACACACACACACAGTGCTGAGTCAGCACAATGCATGTAGAATAAATATTAGTTTTTATGCACATGTCCGTCTGTTTGATTTTTGCTGTGATTTTTTTTAATGTGCAGCAACACGTTCCACATTCTGAGACCCACCAAAGCACCTGGCTTTGTGTACGCCTGGCTGGAACTCATCTCCCATCGTATCTTCATCGCCAGGATGCTCGCTCACACACCGCAGCAGAAGGTAAGACTGATGCCGTTCACCTGCTAGATGTTATACTGAATAAACATGATTACCCCGGTTTCACACTGCAAGCATCAGCGGAGCGGAACAATAGCGGAGCGGCTCACTCGCGAACTTCAAAGTGGTCCTTTTCACACCGAAGAGTCTTGGCTAGGGCTGCTCGATTATGGCAAAAATAATAATCACGATTATGGTGACTGAAATTGAGATCACGATTATTTAGGACGATTTTTCAATTTATGTTGATTTTATTTGTTTTTATTCAGTCATAAAATTGCTCAGGGCACAATCAGGACAAAAATAAGAAACAAGATGATCACTAAAATAACTCCTGATTCCCAGTATAAAATGACCAATATACTTATAGCTCATAGTTTATGACCCAAGGGCTATAGACCTTGGTTTAACTCATTTAAGTCTAACATGTACAGACCCAAATACCAATATCTTGCAAATACTGACAGCAAAAATTATACAGTGGCATTTATAACAAATACATGCAAATAAATTGATGTTCACTACATGTTGCATAATATTTATTTAGTCATGTCAAGGTGCTGTAGGAGAGAGCACTAGCACCGTGTCCTCAGAGAGATTAGTTATTATTTATCAGCGTGGGGAACTTATTTCTACCTTATTTATAAACTATTTATTTACAATTCCATCAGTTAATGTAATAATTGTCCCAACCACAGCTGCACCCCCCACCCCCCAACCCGGTCTCACAGCAATCGGGGCAAGCTGCACGTGTGTTTAGCACGCCGCACGTGCACATTTAGCTGTTTTTAGCGGCTCAGGAGTCCGCAGGTGCGGTGTGTGTGTCACTCACTCTGGTTAATCCAACAGGGAGCCGGCTTCGAGAACTGTCTTTAGCGACCGACACATCACTACATCATTCCCTTTCCTAATGTCCTGAAGAACGGTCTGGAGCACAGGCGGAGTGTTTAGCTAACCTGCAGGAAATGTCGACGACAGTTATCCACAAAGTAGCTAAGGGTTACCAGAGATGTTTCTGAGGTGTTCGCTAGGTACTTTTAGGATAAAAAGTCAAGAAGGGGGTCTGAGAAGCTGCTAGAAATAGTGTCAAAGTCACTAAGTTGGTAACACTGTGGGAGGAGCGCTTCATTTTCAACTCAGGGCAGCGCAAGCGGGAGGAGCAAATAATCGGCTTGTTTTGTTTTTTATAATCGTTCAAAACTCAGATCGTAATCGTAATCAAAATTCGATTAATTGAGCAGCCCTAGTCTTGGCCGCGGCACGGCTTCCTCGCGAGATTCTAAAATCCCTCGAGACTTCCGACACCTTCCTCATCGAGAGATCACAACCCCCGCGAGGAATCACACCGTTGCAGTTCTCGAAAGAAACGGGTGGTAAACAAAGCCGTTCGGTCACACGTACTGACGTAAGTTATATATAACATCGCAACGTTGCATTTTATTTTGAAAATAACCGGGGATTTCACACTGAAACCGTGTGTGGTTTCCTGTTTCGCACTATGTGGACTGCGGAAATTGATGTGTCCCAGAAGCGGCTCACGGAAAATATAGAACTCGATCCTATCTTTGGCGGCGCGGCGCGGCATGCCGCTTCCGGGATGCGCCTGAAAATTGCCGCATCGCGGCTGGTTTGAAACACTCCGTAGACTATAATTGGATTCTATTTGAAGCGGTGCCGCTTCGCTGCCATTCCGTTCCGCTGATGCTTGCAGTGTGAAACCGGGGTTACAGCTGAAAAGTCTGACCGTAGCAGATGTATTCGCTTAGAGACAAATGTTTGTGTATAATTCTGTTCTTTAAATGTTCTTAAATGGGCTGATTTCGTCCTCCAGGGTTGGCCCATGTATGCACAGCTTCTGATTGATCTCTTCAAGTACCTCGCCCCCTTCCTGAGGAATGTAGAGCTCATCAAACCTATGCAAATCCTCTACAAGGTACGCTGTCAGACCTACAACCACAATAATTCACATCCACATTTGAATAATAAATCTCAATGCGACTTTGCTGTGTCCTATACTCTGTTCAGGGAACGCTGAGGGTGCTTCTCGTCCTGCTGCATGACTTCCCAGAGTTCCTGTGTGACTATCATTACGGCTTCTGTGACGTTATCCCACCCAACTGCATCCAGCTCCGCAACCTCATCCTTAGTGCCTTCCCACGCAACATGAGGCTTCCAGACCCCTTCACTCCCAACCTGAAGGTACACAAGCACTGAGATGGTTTCGTTTAAACCAACAGTTCCTTTTTTCCGCGCACACGTTTGAGGTCCATCTGTACAAATGTTCGTTTTAACTCTTTTCTTGCAGGTGGACATGCTGAGTGAGATCAACATTGCTCCTCGTATCCTCACCAACTTCACAGGCGTCATGCCGTCTCAGTTCAAGAAGGATCTGGACTCCTACCTGAAGACACGCTCACCTGTCACCTTTCTGTCTGAGCTGCGCAGTAATCTGCAGGTAAGGCCCGTGTCTCGTCTGGCGTAGCAATACAAATTAAATTCCTGCAACTTAATTTTTGTTTTCTCCACCTAGGTGTCGAACGAACCGGGAAATCGTTACAACATCCAGCTGATCAACGCTCTGGTGTTGTACGTTGGCACACAAGCAATCGCTCACATCCACAACAAGGGCAGCACCCCCTCCATGAGCACCATCACCCACTCTGCTCACATGGACATCTTTCAGAACCTAGCTGTGGACCTGGACACGGAGGGTAAGACGGCAGGATCATTAAAACATTGTCCAGAAACAGTTTGACGATAAATGTGATGAAATTCTCCGAAGGTGATGCAGAAATGATGTTAAACTTTCATCCAAAAAAAAAAAACTGACCAAATTCCTATATTTTTCCAGGACGTTACTTGTTCTTGAATGCAATCGCCAACCAGCTGCGTTACCCAAACAGCCACACCCACTACTTCAGCTGCACCATGCTCTACCTGTTCGCCGAGGCTAACACCGAGGCCATCCAGGAGCAGATCACCAGGTCAGACCGTCTGATGTGACCTTCAGTAGTCTTCACGGATGTGGATCACACTTCCTGTTAGCTGAACATGTTCCTCTCTTCTTCAGGGTTCTATTGGAGAGACTGATTGTGAACCGGCCTCATCCATGGGGGCTCCTCATCACCTTCATCGAGCTGATCAAGAATCCTGCCTTCAAGTTTTGGAGTCACGACTTTGTGCACTGTGCCCCGGAGATTGAAAAGTAGGTTTTGTGATGTTGGCGTGAATTACAGCAGCTCACAAAATATTTAGCTTATTGTTTCCAGGAGTTGTTGTTGTTGTTGAGCCGTTCTGGTGTTTTTGTTCCTCCCGCCCCCCAGGCTGTTCCAGTCCGTAGCCCAGTGCTGCATGGGGCAGAAGCAGGCCCAGCAGGTGATGGAGGGAACCGGTGCCAGCTAACCTGCACGTCACCTCGTAGCCTCTGAGGGATGCTGTGGCCTTGACCCGCCCCCGCCACCACACACACACCTCCCACTCTACTGTTGGCACTGGATAAACTGGCGACCAGTCATGTTGAAACAGAAGGACTACTGCTCCAGGATCTAGAGAGATTTTGTTTTTTTCCATTTGGGATGAGTTGGGAGGAGAATGGATCGGAACATGCTGTTTATTATACTTTTTTGATGCTTTGATGTAAATATTAAAAAGAAAAAAGGGAGAGCAGGGAAGTCGGCAGGTGGGTTGCTGCTCACGTGTCGGCTAGTTCGTACCTTGACATGTAAAGACACAAACGTATTCTCACTCACTACCAAAGTCCTTAGTTTGCTTTCCTCCCACACAAACCCTGCTTACTGAATTTGTTTGCTTTCAGAGGCAGAATAGTAGATGATTGAAGAGAAAAAAAACTGCCTGCTACTTTTGTTTGATTCTTTTGTTTTGTTCCTTTCGAGTGGGACTGAAAGGCGTGGTTAAGTCTCAGGTGTGGTGGTGGAGACCTGTTTCCTGGTTTGTCCATTTGAAGCTGGCTGTGAAGGTCTCTCCTTGGCACGTGTAAAACTGTGCAAAGTGATGGTAACATTTGACAACTTGTACAAAGTTCCAAACTGAAGAACAACTATAGAAGGACCAATACAGCCCGTTTTGTAACATTTTGAATGTTTTGTAAATGTATTGGTCCGTGTGTTGTATTTTGTAGTCCTTTCTAGTTTGCCTTTAGTTCTTGCTACTTAACTGCAGTATGCATACGTAAAGAAAATAAAGCATTCAAACTGCTGCCGTGTGTGAATCCCTTCAGAACTCCAGTCGAAAAAGGACCAAGGCAAAGATTTGGATGTTTTATTCGTAGACTGCTTGTTTTTCAAATATTTAAAGAGCAAGTCACCCCCAAATCAACTTATTTTCTCTAATAAAATATATAACTGAGTGTCTATTTGTGCTGCAGACACGTGTAGTCAATAGTTTTGCACTTTAGTGCATCTTAAAATTTTAATCTTTTTAAACAGTCAGTCTTGTGCCATGTCAGGTAAAAACCACTGCATTTGAAAATCAATCTGCCATCGCTATTGGCTAAGAGGTACATTATGATGTCACAATGTCATTGTGAGCCTGTTTGTGTGTATTTGTTAGTGACTCCGCCCTCTCGGATTGCTAGGCAACAGCACTAACAAATACACACACAGGCTCAACGACACTGGCCGTGTTCGAGATGAGCCAGTTCTGCGCAGATTAGATCACCGGTGATCGGCGCTCCGTGCATGCCGGTTAGATTTGTGTCCGACTTGCTCCTCTGGTGAAAACGAACACTGACAAAGTCTGGTTCTATTTTCCCATCTTTAGTTGGCAACAATAATACCTAATGAAACAAATTGACACAAAGGGGGCCCAATGTTTTATAAATAAAAACGGGGGGAGGGAATCATGGGCCCCTTTCCCCTCTTGGGCAGTCAGGTCCACTTTTCCTCCTAGTACCACGCGCCTCTGCTCATGAGCGTCTGTCAGCGGTCTCTTCGTTGACATCCGTTCACATAATGTAGTTTAGTGCTTAGTGTGAGGGAGGGAGACGCCTGTCATCCGGTTCTGGAGCTCATGTGGGCTTCTGTGAGCTGGATCCGACCCAAACACGAGCGAGACAGTCAAGCTGGAATTTTTAAAAGCCGCGCATCCTCTCCTGGTGCGGCGGATCTGATCCGGTTCCGACCCGGAAATCAGCTGGCCCGCTGAGCCATGCGTCTCTTCTGGTGGTCTGTTCTGACCTGGTTCCATGGACGTAATTTTGGGGGGGGGGGGGGGGGGGGACAGGGGGGACATGTCCCCCCCCCCCACTTTTTCCAAAGTCAAGTTTTGACCCCTGCACTTTTTACCATCCAAAAACAATATTACGCTATATTAAATTGACACTGGTTGAGCTCTAGGACTAAGCGGAAAACAACGGTTTGTGTTAAAGCCTGTTTCCCATTAGAACATACTGCAAAGATACCCATACCCCCCCCCCCCCCCGTGTCCCCCCCACTTAAGTGAAAATGACGTCCTTGCCTGGTTCTGACGGTGATCTGAGCTCCAGAAATCCGCCTTTAATTTTTTAAACCCCGGCTGCCACGGGTCTCCGGAGCCCAGCGCGGACCTCCCTGTCTCTGAACCCCTCTTTTTAGGATTGAGCTCCTAAAACTTCGCGTTATTCTCAAACTGAGAATGAAACTCCCTCCATGGATGGGTGGGATGGAGGCTCCAACTGGACACACCCCTACAGGACATCTAATGTCTCCTCCAGACAACAGATTTTATCATGATCAGCTTCTCAACATAACTTTTTGCATTTTTAAGAAAGTTTCCCAGATTTTTTAATGGTTTAAAACTAATTTTCAGATTTGACATTTTTATTTCTGCAGAAGCAACTAAGGAAAACATGAACATTTTATTTATGCAGTGGTCATTTTCTTCAAAGGGGAAACTAGCGGCGTGGAGAGAAATAAAACCTGCGTGTCTGAAAACTAATGATTACGGGTTCAAAAAACAGAATTTTTAAATATTCCAAAAAGCTGAATAGATGTTTTAGAAATAAAAATAAATACTGCGTGGATAAAATAATGTTGTTTAAACTATAGACTATGGTGATGAATGCTCTTTTGTACGTTCATTCTGTGGTTCTTTTAACACAGCGGAGTTGTTTTTTACCTTGCTTTTGCTCACGTTTCCACCAACGTGTCAGGGTGGTCTGCAGAGAGCGCTCTCAGAGGACTGAGCAGCAGGCAGTGGAGGGTGCTGCAGGTCCGCTTTGGACAGAAGATGATCCTGCACAGACTGATGGAGCTCACCCTGCCCTGAGTTCTCAGCTGCCTCTGACTCACCCAATAAATGTTTTATACCTGAACATTTTGGTTTTGCTTTATTTCGTTATCCACCGCCGAAGGTGTAAAAAAAAGTGTCCTGACTAATCAGCTGATCACAGGTTAAACCTGTGGTGATGCTCTCTCACCACCAGAGGGTGGTGTTGGACCAGTTTCACCTGTAGACCCTGTGCCACATCAGCAACTCTCTGAGGTTTACAGATGCCTACAGATGTTCTGGATGGCTGATATGTGGCTCGTTGGTCTAGGGGTATGATTCTCGCTTAGGGTGCGAGAGGTCCCGGGTTCAAATCCCGGACGAGCCCATATGCCTTTTGTTCCATAGCTGAATTTAAAACCTCCCAGAAAGCATTTATTTTAAACTGATGTCAGTTTCTCTCCTCTAGATACAAGTTCAAGTCAAACCACAGTTCCTGCTTTGTGTCTGGTGAGGAAATCAGTTTCCCTCCAGCATCTCCTCAACTTTAAAACTTTATAAAATTTATATAAATAAGCTGAAAAATCAATAATTTAGGAAAAACTTAGGAGGGGGAATTCTCTTCTAGCAGGACATTATTTATGCTAAGCTACCTGAGAGAACAAAACCTGAAAACAGTCACATTCAGACTAATCTTCCATATAATTTCTGTTTCAACTCACAGCTGAAAGATTTTCTGTTATGAAATATTTAAAAAACTTTTGAAATCCTTTAATATTAATGAAGCCCTTTTCAAATACTTACACACTAATATTAAATGTCCTTTTAGGAGTTAGGAGATAAAGATGTGGTGACAGATGTCATCTCTGTTAATTTCTCATTCTGTGCTTTAAAGCCCTCTAGCCACTCTGAAAAAGGCCGAATCCGTCGTATAAACTTTCAGCAAACATCAAATATAAACGGGTTGAATTTGTTTTTTAGATGTTTTTGTCACGAGTATGATGTGTTTTTCCTGGGTAAACTTATATATATATATATATATATATATATATATATATATATATATATATATATATATATATATAGATAGATAGATAGATAGATAGATAGATAGATAGATAGATATGTGACAGTGAGTGTCCTGTCACAATGTCCCGATTGATCATGCGCCCTGGCTACTTGGCCATGGGGATGTCCCTTTGGCTGACTGGTTAGAGCGTATGACTCTCACCCGGGAGTCTGGGGATCAAATCCTGCCCGGACCCTCGTTTCTCCACCTTGCCATAGATAGATAGATATATAGATAGATATATACGGGCACCACCGATGTCTTCACTCTTCAGGCTTTCTCAGGTTCTTCTCTGAGGTCCTGGTACTTCTCTAGATTCTCGTGTTCCTTTCTCCTGATGTTGCATCACCTGGTATCGCCACATCGACCACAACAGCTGTCCTCTGTTGTTTGTCCACCACCACGATGTCCGGTTGGTTCTCCGTCACCATTTAGTGACCATTTAGTGAGTCTGGATCTGGAAGTCCCACAGGAGCATGGCTCTCTCGTTCTCTACCACCTTAGGGGTGTTACCCACTTTGACCTTGGGGCTTCCAGTCCATACTCTGCACAGATGTTCCTGTACACGATGCCAGCCGCTAGGTTGTGGCGTTCCATGGATGCTTTCCCTGCCAGCATCTTAGATCCTGCAGTTATGTTGTGGATCATCTCAGGGGCCTTGGGCCTACACCTTGGGCCTTGTCTGGTGTGCTAGATCTTGGCTTCTGTTGCTCTGCTCTTGTGTATCCATGATGAGCCTCTGTGCTGTGCTTCAGACCAGCTCTTTCTAGCCATTGGTAGGATTTTTTTATGTCAGCCACTTCAGGTGTCTGTCTGGTACATCCCATGTAGAGGCTTGTCCTCCTACGATGGTATCTCCAGCATCTCCTCTGTTCGCCATTGTCTGAGACATTCACTGAGCATATCATCTGTTGGAGCCTTACCCTGGATGTACTTATGGAATTTAGATGTTTCATCCTGGACGGTGGCTCTCACACTCACTAGTCCTCCTTCCTTACAGCTAGTGTTCAGTCTTAGGGTGCTGGGTTTGGGATGGAACCATGCATGGTTAGGAGCTTCTGTGTCATAACATCTGTGGTCTGTGTTTCTTCCTTAGGCCAGTGTATTATTTCTGCAGGAGATCTGATTACTGACAGGGCGTAGCTGTTTATTACCCGGATCTTGTTCCTGCCGTAAGCTGACTTCTTAGGACCTGCTGTATAGTTTTTGGCTGTGGCTCCTTTCCTTGTGGGTTCATCAAGGTTGCCATTAGCTTGTGGGATACCGAGGTAGCTGTCCTCAATGTCTGCTATTGATCCTTCTGGGAGTGAGACCCCTTCTGTGTGGACTACCTTCCCTTTCTTTGTCCCCATCCGACCACACTTCTCAAGTCCGTATGATGATGAATGAATGCTCTTTTGTACGTTCATTCTGTGGTTCTTTTAACACAGCGGAGTTGTTTTTTACCTTGCTTTTGCTCACGTTTCCACCAACATGTGTCAGGGTGGTCTGCAGAGAGCGCTGTGAGATGCTTCCTCTACTGTCCACCATGTCGTTCATCAACAGAGGTGACTGGGCTGGGTCCA